TGATCTCATAGTTTTAAGTTAAAACTTAAAATGTTCTGAACGCCTTATGACATTATGGATGCAATAAATAATATGAATATTTGATTTGGTAAATGCGACAAGAAGCACAAAACACAAAAGCCACGAGGGGAAAATTTTAAGAAATTCGCTAAAATCAACATCAGTTAAATTGAATACATATATATATATATATATATATATATATATATATATATATATATACATATATATATATATATATATATATATATATATATATATCTATGTGGAAAAGAATCATTAGTTACTTCGATACAAAATTGGATTGTAACTATAGAGAGTTTTCAGTGGTTGTGGCAAGAATTTGCCTCCAATGACAAAAAGAGCAATTGCACTTGCAAAGTTACACTAATAAAAAACGTAATAAATATTATTATATTTATTTTCGAGGTGCTAAAAGGATCCTATTTCTAAGACGGGCTTTTAGGTTGATGTAAATACATGCCTTTGTCTTAGATTAACCCTTCCAATACCGCGGGCATGAATTCATGCATCTATTAAGTGACCGTTGGGTACCGCGGGCATGAATTAATGCAGCTATACCGCAATACTATTTTCGTCTTAACAAATATATAAAGACAGTATATTTTCAATTAGAAACTATTTCATTCGATTTTAACGAACTAAAGAGTATTCTCAAGTATTAAACTCATGCGGTTACATAGACTAAATAAAAAATAATAGGCATTCACTTTCTCGTTGTTGGTGCTGTTAGTTGTGTAATTGTTTTCGTTTTGTGTTTGTGGTTTTTATTGGATTTTCTTTCAAAAACTGGTAAAAATTGTTGATGATTTTTACTAGATAATGTTTTTGAATGATTTAAGTTACAACAAAAGTAAATTTTTGTGTTTTAATTGATAAAACAGGAAAAACAAAACACCACTACGTGAACTATTTAAAGGGTCAAAATTTCAAATAAGATCTACCTTCTGAAATATTTAGCGTTTTTAGAGATAGTTTATTGCATGTATATATATTCATAAAGACGTATTATTCCATAATTTTATATCTATATGATTTTATAAGAAAAATTAAGGAAGACGCTATAGTATTTTCACAAAAAGGTTTTGAAAATGAGGTTACAAAGTGCGGCAAACTCTTTGTCGAATATTTTGCAAATATTTGTGAGTGAAAAATAGAATTATTTTAATGATTGCATGCATAATTTCGGAAGAGCATGTTATACAGATTATGAGGACATAAAAATAAAATAAAAACTTACGCTTTTTCATTCATAAAACTAAATATATTTTCAGTAAATACACTTTTTCAAGATCCCTTAGAAACAAAGAGTTGTACAAAACTAAATAAACATCCAAATGTTATTGTTATTGTTTCTACTTATCGACAATCTTATCAGTTTTAAAAAACTGTAACTCAAACCTCTTATAACATAAATGAACAGTCGTGATTAACATAAATATTGAAACAAGTGCCGCGCGCCGAGATGTAGTCAGGAGCCCCCGGTACAAAGCCGTTTTTTGTTATAGCAGGCGCGGTAACGGAAAGATTAATTTAGAAAACTAAATGTCACTTTCAATTATTGAGCCTCTCTATTGGCCAATTTTTTATTTTTAGTACGGAAGACAGGTCTGTGCGCTAGAACTTCTCAGTTTGTAGTGGAGGTGGGCAAAATGTATCATTTTTGCGATTGGAACATTTGCATCTTGATCACTGAAATGTTCCGAAACACTGATATGTTTCATTTGGCTCATTTGCATCATCGACTCAAAAGATATAAAAGAAAGAATGTTCCGAATAGGTATATTAAGTTGCGTCGCGGGTAGGGTTACCAGATGAAAAAATTAAAAGTCCGGAGAAGAGGCCTGATTTCCATTTAAAAATCCTGAGATTTTTTACAGTTTGAGAAGAAAACCTTACTTAAAAAGGTATCTTCACATATTAAGTATGATAAAACTGTTTAAGTACCTACTTGGATAAATAAGTTTTGATTTTAATTGTGGAATTATTACCAAAGGAAAATTATTTTTAGTTTGTCTAACTTTTTATTAAAGAGATCTTTAAAATGTAAGCTGTATTACATTGAAAGTTCTAAAACTCCTGAGATTTCATGAGATTTGCAAAATCCAGCCGCAATCCTGAGAAGAGTTTAAAAATCCTGAAATCTCAGGACAAATCCTGAGATATGGTAACCCCGGTCGCGGGCGTTTATTACTGACTGATCCGTGAAATGTTATGTGGCAACAATGCTGAATAATATAAGTGCTTAGATTATTTATTGTGTACCATTATGAGATTGTATATAAAATCGATTCTCCTTCATACTTTAACAAAAATGTCACTATGTCAATTCATTATTTACATAAATGTCCATTTACACAAAACAGCAATGTCTATGTACACAGAATTTACTCGTAAAGTATCCTAACTCTAAACTTTATGATGAAAAGGAAGAAAGTAAATTCACAATAATCACTACGCAAAGAAATCCTAAACATAACTCAGTATGTTTTCGTAAACAGGCGCTAATGAATATAAACAATTTGACAAGTGCCGCATCAACGTAAAATGACAACTTGTTAATGCAAACGTTACATACAAAAAACGACCGTATAGTATTTGACACATAAGCGCCTTAGTGGTAATTTTTACGTGCATGAATAACGTCAGCGAAAATCCGTACGAGTTGAGTGATACACTTCTTATTTGTTATCTCTATCTGACTTGACAGCGACGACCATCCGCGCGTCTACGTGTGCCTCTATAGGTCCCATAGCGGTAATGCCGAAACAAACCGACTCATCGACCACGTCCAAATGGCTACAGATTCCTTGCTACAACAGGTCCCATCCGCAGAGATCGTGATCCTTGGCGATTTTAACGCCCACCACGCCGAATGGCTCGGTTCACGTTTAACCGATCATGCGGGGAGATCTGTTTATGACTTTGCCTTGGCATATGGTCTGACACAACTGGTTACATCGCCTACGCGGATTCCAGATGTTGAGGATCATGCACCTTCCCTGTTGGACCTTCTGCTGACCTCTCATCCGGACGGATATCGGGTTTCCGTTGATGCCCCTCTTGGCTCTTCGGACCATTGTCTGATCCGGAGTGTGGTGCCACTCACGCTCCCCTCGCGGTTGCGTTCTGCAGGTTGCCGCCGTGTTTGGCATTACAGGTCGGCGGATTGGGACGGAATGCGGTCTTTCTTTGCTTCCTACCCATGGGGGCGGGTTTGCTTCTTGCAGGATGATCCCAGCGCTGTTGCTGACTCTGTCACTGATGTAGTGCTACAGGGAATGGAACTATTTATTCCATCATCTGTGGTACCCATCGGAGGCAGATCTCTGCCTTGGTTTGGTCGCTCCTGTAAGACTGCATTACGCAGTAAGCAGGAGTGTTATCAAGCCTGGGCTGCAGCTTCGGTGACTCGGGATGTAAACACCAGCACACTCAAAAAGAAGTATAACTTCGCCTCCAGGTCCTTCAAAAGAGTTATTGCCAAGGCAAAGTCAGAGCACATAGGCAGAATTGGCGAGAAACTAGTTCGCCTTCCTTCGGGAACCCGTGCATTCTGGTCTCTCGCCAAGGCTGTCCAAGGGAATTTCTGTAAGCCATCACTACCACCTCTGCACAGGGAGGACGACTCACTGGCCCACGACGCAAAAGAGAAGGCCGACCTTTTAGGCTCCCTTTTTGCGTCCAACTCGACTGTTGATGACGGGGGGAACACACCGCCGACCATCCCGCGGTGTGAGTGCTCCATGCCGGATGTGCGATTCTCACAGCGCTCGGTTCGCAGAGCACTCCTCTCCTTTGACATCCACAAGTCGAGTGGGCCTGACGGAATCCCCCCAATTGTGCTGAGGACGTGTGCTCCGGAGTTGGCACCGGTTCTAACGCGTCTTTTCCGGTACTCCTACTCCCTAGGCGTAGTCCCGAAATCATGGAAGACAGCTTTTGTCCACCCGATCCCTAAAAAAGGCGACTCTCAGATCCGTCCAACTACAGGCCTATTGCCATCACCCCCTTGTTCTCCAAAATAATGGAATCCGTTGTAAACTGCCACCCCATGCGGTACCTTGAGGATCACCAGCTGATTAGTGACCGCCAGTACGGTTTTCGTCGGGGTCGATCAGCTGGTGATCTTCTGGTCTACTTAACTCATAGATGGGCGTTGGCAGTAGAGTCCAAGGGGGAGGCATTGGCCGTTAGTTTGGACATTGCGAAGGCCTTCGATCGGGTTTGGCACAAAGCGCTTCTTGAGCTTCTTTCGGTGAGCCGCATGCTCGTTTGACCCCTCTCCTATAAAAAAAAAAAAACTTGTGTGGATTATAATTATTTCGTCTTCTCATTCGCCACTCGTGAGTCGATAGTTAAGTTAATCATTGTCTCAGTCTCTCTCTCGCTCGTGGCTCAGTCGTCTGGCACGCGACGCGTCGCGCGAAATGAGCAAAGAGCAAAGTAATGTTTCACTGTTCCAGATACAAATGATACATTTGAAACGTTGTTACTGAACAAATCTTTTGTGTCACTTCAGTGATTCGTTTCCGTAAAGCGATACACACGCCTAGTTTGTAGTATTGATTAATCAAACAAGCTAAAGTGAATTAGTGAACCAAAAATCCTCCCACCCCACTACGCGACGATACGTGAACGTTAATTTACTTTAGGTGCCTAAATACTCGTGATATTAGTGTAATTCTTGTGTGAATTCTTGTACTCTTAATACTCATTTTGCATCGCACGTCCAGTTGGATGCATCAATATATTGTAATAAATATAAGCAAAATATATCTAGACTAGGCTGTGGGGACACAGACGCCTTTGGTCTTTATTTAATTGCATAAAATACCAATTTGTCAATTGTCATTGTCAGTTGGACAATTTCGATTTTGGACATACAGATTTGTCAATTTGACATATTCGAATCGAATTTCTGTGCGTATTCTTGGTTGAAAACGAATTACGTAAGGATAAACGAATAATAAATTAAAATGTCTTTCTTTTTGAAACGTGCCATAGGTGCAAACTGTCACCTCGGACGCGTGATATTAAATAACACGAAAGTGCCAACTGTGCAACGAGTCGCAACAAAGACCGATCAAGGCACACCTCAAGTTGAAACCAGACCAACAGTAGCTAAAATTGACCCCTTGCGAAAAGCTCAGCTTATAGATTTTGGCAAATATATCGCAGAATGCTTGCCTAAGTATGTTCAAAAAGTACAACTTACTGCTGGCAATGAATTGGAAGTACTCATACCTCCTGATGCTGTTATTCCAATTTTACAGTTTATGAAAGACCACCATAATGCTCAATTTGCAAGCCTTGTCGACATTGCAGGCATGGATGTACCATCTCGACCTAATAGATTTGAGATTATTTATAATTTGTTATCCCTTCGTTATAATGCTAGAATCCGTGTCAAGACTTACACAGATGAATTAACACCTATCGACTCAGCATGTGAAGTATTTAAAGCTGCCAACTGGTATGAAAGAGAAATATGGGATATGTATGGGGTCTTTTTTGCGAATCATCCTGACTTAAGAAGAATTTTGACAGACTATGGATTTGAAGGCCATCCATTTAGAAAAGATTTTCCACTTAGCGGCTATGTTGAAGTTCGTTATGATGATGAGCAAAAGCGTGTTGTAGTTGAACCACTAGAACTGGCACAGGAGTTCAGACGTTTTGAACTTAGTGCCCCATGGGAACAGTTTCCCAACTTTAGGGGAAATCCTGCATCAGAAGAAGTTACGAATGCCACTGAAACTAAAAAAGAGTAACAAATATTTTTATGTATTTTAAATAAAGTAATGTGTAGTTGTTTTTGGTTTCTGTTATAATTTATTCTTTTTTGTATTGAAGCTAAAGATTTACTTTTAAGATACTGAGATATATTTAAATAGTTGGGATATGTAATAATTGGGAAATGTAATATTAAGTATTCAAGTATTTGTTTTATCATTAATTTAATGATTGCAGAACTAATTTACATTGGTTATGTCTCTAAAGCACATTTTTAGTCCATAATTCTCTTTTAAATTGAAACTTTTACTTGAAATATTTCACTCATTAATTATTCATTATTATAATAATTTTTGGGAAAACAATTTTAAAGATACGATAATTTTATGCCCTATAATGAAGAAAGAAAACCATTTTGCTTACAAGGTAGGGATTCATTTTATTTTTCAGATTGCATAATTTACAATCTTTACAAGATGTTTAAATAATAATTTGCAAATTGAGATACAGGTATAATGTCTCATAATGATTAAGTTTTTATCTTTAATGTAACAAAATATTCAGAAATAAATTGTAATGTTAGCAGTAGTCAAAACTGAAGGATTATATACAAATACAGAATCATAGTAACATTGATTACAAAAATGTCAATTTTCTGTTGTTGTTTCAAGACTAATAATGTTATAATACTTATTTGACATAGTAAACAGTACCTAAAAATAAAATAAAGAAATAAATATCACTTTATTGCCACAATCAAAATACATATTTACATATAAACTGAGTACTTAATCTTAATTAAATTTATGCAATCGGAGGTAATTACACTTACATGATTGATTACAGTGGTTAGTGGTGATGAAGACCTAAATTGCCTTGAAGACACCCAGTTTGTAGATATATTTCAGCTTTGTTGAACTTTGGTCAATTCTTTTTTTATGGAGAATTACATAGAGCTTTTGTGGCAAAATATTGGAAGGTAGGTGCAACATCTGTGCTAAAAAAATTATATTGTACAAATGGAACACTAAAGAAAAACCTTATTTAACATTTGATCTGTAATATGTGCAATAGTTTATTTTAATTATAAAGGAAATATTATTGCAATTTTGTAAATTAAGCAGAAACAAGGTCATTGCAACTTTGCTTTTCGCTTATTGTAAATTTGATAATTGACGTGGTATGTCCAGTGGACTTAAGGAATGTCATACATATATGCACCAGTCAAAAATATTTATTTTAGGCAAGGTGGCCAGACCATAGATAAATTGTGTCTTCAATGTATTGTTAGTGCCTTTATATGTAATAGAGCCATGCTGCAGGTAGATTATAGTTGTAGTACGAATGGGTCGGTTCGTACAGGGGAGGTCCACACTCATAAAATACCAGTGTAAAATAGTAGCTTAATGCTGCTGGGTTTTGTATGTTGAGGGCAGAGATCTGAAGACCCTTTTTTCTGGAAACGGGGCATTCCATCTTAGTCCTCAGTTGTGATAACGCATCTGCATTTGATTATTAATCGAGGGTGGATATGGATGTCTATGAACCCCAGCATCTACAAACCATCAGGTGGAGTGTGCTCGCTTGTCACCCTTAATCTATGATAAATATGTGAGGAAAAGGGAGTTAGATCGAGGAGGTAGAAATGAAAAGCGTGTAGAAAAACCAGGCGATATATTCAGCGGCGGTAACGGTAACGCTTGAAGTGAAACCAGAGCTGGAAGATGTTGTTGTGGAAGTGGCAGCGGAAGCCGCGCTTGTACGAGTACTCCCACTCGCGGCTGACGATCTTGAAAGCGATGTCCTCGTAGGGCGGGCCCGCGTGGAACCGCAGCACCGCGAACTCCGGGTTGTCTGCGCACGGCTTCTGCACATAGGTGGTAGAGCCGTGAATAGAATACTATCATTTTCATTCAATATAGATTACAAAGATACTTATTGAAAGTCGTTTAAGCTTTAACACTGATTTGATTTGAAAAAGTCTGCCTTTAAAAAAAATAAAAAATTACAATATAATATTTTATACAATTAGTTTCAACTTTAAATTTCAACGTGGTAGAGCCAGCTGCAGCTATATAGTTGTAGCACGAATGGGTCGGCTCGACCGGGGAAGGACCACGCTCTCACAGAATACCGGCGTAAAATGGCGGCTTGATATTGCTGTGTTTCGTATGGTGAGTGTAGAGAACTGGAGACCCTTTTTACTGGAAATGAGGCATTCCATCTTAGTCCTCAAGGGTGACAACCTATCTGCACTTTGATATGTAATCGAGGATAGATGTAGATGTCTATGAGCCACAGCAACCACTTACCATCAGGTGGACTGTGTGCTCGTTTGTCACCCTAATCCTATAAAAAAATAGTATGAAAACGTTTAGAAAAAGTACGGTGGTGATAACCTCATTCCCAGGAGTTGTTATTAATATGTACTATATGGTATGATAACCCTTACTAAACAATTTTTGCTTAGTAAAAATTTTAAACTTAATAGATATGCATGCATATTTTCTGAGACTTTGTTGTAAAAGCGTATACATATATAATACCTCATAGAGGAATTATTGACTCATTAGACAAAAAAAAACAATTTGTAACCGTGTAGTGGAGATGTAAGAATATTCACTACTACGAGTTTCATCCAAGTGTGTGTCGTAAGAGGCGACAGATGGAAGCCGAACGAGGAGATGAGCAGTAGCATTTTCCTAATAACAGCTGAGGAAAAATAAAATCTGCAGTTGCCAAGCCGCTTGCTAAGCGTGGAAACTATGGCAAATAACCCCAATATGAGTCAATCCATGGGGAGGCGTAAAGTTCAGCAGTGGACTTGTAATAGGCTGTAATAGTAATGGCGCACCATAAACAAAACATCATAAAAGAAAAATCGCAGAATCAAACTAACTTTACGGGACCCATGGTAACGGGGGGGACTGAGGTGTTTGATATCCCAATGTCATAGTTAACAAAGGCTACCGTCAACTTTTAATTATTAATTTTAATTTACAGTAGTTATAACGAGAAAGTACATAGTACTTATTTTTTTTATTGGATAAGGGTGACAAACGAGCACAATCCACCTAATGATAAGTTGTTGCTGCGGCCCATAGACATCTACATCTATCCTCGATTACGAATCATAATGCAGATGCGCTGTGCTATTTTACGTTGGTATTCTGTGTGAGCGTGGTCAGTCCACGGTGGTGCCGACCCATTCGTGCTACAACTATACTACTAATATAGTTGCAGCATAGCTCAACCACTTATAAGAAGTCATTATAGAAAAAAAAAACACTTGAAAAGCAAGACAGCTAGTAAGTCCTTAAGAACGAATTTCGGTCGCAGCGGCCAGTTCAACGTAGACTAGCCATCTGCTAGCACACGATTATTGTGTTTGAGTGTTTTTTTTATAGGAGAGGGGGCAAACGAGCATGCGGCTCACCTGATGATAAGTGACTACCGCCGCCCATAAACAACTGCAACACCAGGGGAATCGCAGATGCGTTGCCGGCCTTTTAAAAAGAAGTAGTAGGCACTTTTCTTAAAGGTCCCTAAATTGTATCGGTCCGGAAAAATCGCTGATGGTAATCGATTCCAGAAGGAAGTTATGCGAGGAGTTGTGGTGTGGATGGTATCGGGAGTTCTGCCGCGATGTGCGTTCGTGAAATTTGGCGGCTGGATAATTCCTCAGAGCACTCCCCGTGGTAAATGCGAAAGAAAATGCAAAGAGATGCAACATCTCTTCGCAGTGCCAAAGAATCGAGCCGGTCGGAAAGGACTCGGTCGTCAACGATTCGAGCCGCTCTGCGCTGGATGCAGTCAAGTGTAAAGAGCTGGCACTGGGGAGCCCCTGCCCAGAGATGGGAACAACTCACCACCTCCCATGGCCCCAGCGACCCTAAGGTTATACGGGCCCAATCTCGGGAGATGCGCGCGGTACTTGCACGTGGCTTTTTCCCGCGCACACTTTCTTGACTCCCTACAAATATTTAATCTATTCCTTGTCCCAGTTTAACGTCATTCTCCCCCTTCTGGGGCTGACGACACATTGACGCCTACGTCGTCGGCCCCTCCTATCAGCCTTCCTATACTGCCTATCCTGCCTTGTCCTGCGATCGTGCCACCTATGCGCAAACTCGCGCAACAGTCCGTAGTTCACCACATCGCTGACGAGATCCGAGTAGTAAACTGGTCCCTGAACCGGACGAACTAGTCCATCCATCATTTTCACTCTTAGGTCATCCTACAGAGGACATTCCCATAGAACATGGTGAACATCCTCCTCTGACTTACCGCACTCACACATACTAATTTCACACAGTTTCATGTCGCTCAGTCTCTTCCGAAAGCATCAATGTCCGGTGAGAATCCGAGAGGATTGGTAGTCCGGTGAGACCCAGGTACACCTGAGTCTCAACGCCACGTCCGGGAAAAATCGATGCAGCTCACGTCCTTTTGTATCACACGTCCATCTATCCTGCCAGGCGCCGATCACCTCAGTCCAGATATCGCGATTCCGTCTGCTCAACTCCTCTTGCGCCGCGGTCAAGCGTGCTATACCCATCCTATCAGCACGGATGACCTCTAGGTCAGCAGGGAGAACGCCAGTCAGCACGGCGGTATTCTGTGAGGTCGTAGTGCCAACCCGACTCGAGCCGTGCAACAGCAAAAACTGCCACGTGGCTCTACCACTGTTAAAGCCACCGCTTTAATGGTGGTAGTCGAATTACCGCTGTTGTTTGCTTTAGTACAGGTGCACTCTCCATTCTCTTACTTTCATAGTCTGATAGGACGGTAATTCGACACGACCAGATAGAGAACAGGCGCAAGATGAACGGCTTTCCGAGGCACGGGAGTGAAACACCGCCATTTTCCTGACCGAGCTTCTACTGAGAATTTCTTGTCAGAAAAAGTCAGAACTGATTTTAGCTCGACCCGGGACTTCAGGACCAGCAACCGTGTTTACGAGCACTAGACCATGGAGACAGTCGGTCGTATAAGCTATGTACAAGTATAGTGGGTAGTGGTGCACACGTACGAGCGAGAACTCTGGCGTAGAGTTCTTGTCGATGAGATCCGGGTAGAAGATGTTGAACTTGTAGCCCTGCACGATCTTGGGCGGCGGGTTGTCCATGTCGTAGTGAGTCTGATTGTACTTGTTCCACTCGAAGCCCGTGTGCACTCTGCAACGCAAAAAACATACACACATATTAAAGAAAGTTTGGTTGTATGATTGCACAAATGGGTCAGCTCAACTGGGGTAGGACTACGTCTTCAAATAATACCCTAAGATATTTTTAAAGGTATAGATACGTCATACTCGCTCTAAAATGGCAATACGAAAGTAAGGTAATTGCACGACTCGCATTCAGTCGGGCACGCACTCGCGTCTCGGCTATACCTTCGCTACAGCGCGTAAATCTTCTAGTTATTCGTGGTAAAAATGCCTTACTGTGTTTTTAAGTGGTTCACAAATTACACGGCAACTGTTAGAGACAAGAAAAACGTCTCACATAATATTTTGAATATATATGTTTTGTTCATAATTGCTTTTATTATTTCAACACTAACCGCTAGTGTAAACTTTGACGCTAGCTAGTGTGTTCATTTTCCATATCGGTATATCACGCGCTCGCGCCAATGAGCGCTCGGAGGCAATCAATACGCAACTAATGATGTATATTCATCTTTTTCTAACGCTAAGTATGCCTTATCATTTGTCTCTTTTTGTTAGCGCAACGTGTCATAATAAATAACTGTACACAGATACAGTACTACCTGCGTCACTTTAAAATACAATAATGTTAGTGTGTAACCTGTCTATCTTTTTAATACGTCTTTGATATTACCAGCGTAAAATAGCAGCTTAATGCTGCAGTATTTCGTATGGTGAGTTTAAAGATCCGGACAACCTTTTTACTGGAAGCAAGACATTCTATTTTGGTACTCAGGGGTGGCAGCGCATCTGCATTGCAACCCCTGATTTGATTACTGATCAAGGATATATGTGGATGTCTACAAAGCACGGCATCCGCTTACCATCGGGTGGACTGCGTGCTCGTTTGTCAACCTTATCCAGCTGCAGTTGCAGATGTACAGATGTACAGATGTTGTGCAGGAGTGGAGACCTGTTGAAGTAGCGCGGCTTGCGGGGCCGGTACTTGTCGGCCCACAGGCACGGCTGCTCGGGCAGCGGCTGCTCCACGCTGAACTGCGCGCTGCCGGCCGCCGGGCCCATGGAGCGCGCCGCGGCCAGCTGCAGCTGCAGATGTACAGATGTACAGATGTTGTGCAGGAGTGGAGACCTGTTGAAGTAGCGCGGCTTGCGGGGCCGGTACTTGTCGGCCCACAGGCACGGCTGCTCGGGCAGCGGCTGCTCCACGCTGAACTGCGCGCTGCCGGCCGCCGGGCCCATGGAGCGCGCCGCGGCCAGCTGCAGCTGCAGATGTACAGATGTACAGATGTTGTGCAGGAGTGGAGACCTGTTGAAGTAGCGCGGCTTGCGGGGCCGGTACTTGTCGGCCCACAGGCACGGCTGCTCGGGCAGCGGCTGCTCCACGCTGAACTGCGCGCTGCCGGCCGCCGGGCCCATGGAGCGCGCCGCGGCCAGCTGCAGCTGCAGATGTACAGATGTACAGATGTTGTGCAGGAGTGGAGACCTGTTGAAGTAGCGCGGCTTGCGGGGCCGGTACTTGTCGGCCCACAGGCACGGCTGCTCGGGCAGCGGCTGCTCCACGCTGAACTGCGCGCTGCCGGCCGCCGGGCCCATGGAGCGCGCCGCGGCCAGCTGCAGCTGCAGATGTACAGATGTACAGATGTTGTGCAGGAGTGGAGACCTGTTGAAGTAGCGCGGCTTGCGGGGCCGGTACTTGTCGGCCCACAGGCACGGCTGCTCGGGCAGCGGCTGCTCCACGCTGAACTGCGCGCTGCCGGCCGCCGGGCCCATGGAGCGCGCCGCGGCCAGCTGCAGCTGCAGATGTACAGATGTACAGATGTTGTGCAGGAGTGGAGACCTGTTGAAGTAGCGCGGCTTGCGGGGCCGGTACTTGTCGGCCCACAGGCACGGCTGCTCGGGCAGCGGCTGCTCCACGCTGAACTGCGCGCTGCCGGCCGCCGGGCCCATGGAGCGCGCCGCGGCCAGCTGCAGCTGCAGATGTACAGATGTACAGATGTTGTGCAGGAGTGGAGACCTGTTGAAGTAGCGCGGCTTGCGGGGCCGGTACTTGTCGGCCCACAGGCACGGCTGCTCGGGCAGCGGCTGCTCCACGCTGAACTGCGCGCTGCCGGCCGCCGGGCCCATGGAGCGCGCCGCGGCCAGCTGCAGCTGCAGATGTACAGATGTACAGATGTTGTGCAGGAGTGGAGACCTGTTGAAGTAGCGCGGCTTGCGGGGCCGGTACTTGTCGGCCCACAGGCACGGCTGCTCGGGCAGCGGCTGCTCCACGCTGAACTGCGCGCTGCCGGCCGCCGGGCCCATGGAGCGCGCCGCGGCCAGCTGCAGCGCGTCGCCGGGCGCCCCCGCCCCCGCACTGCTCGCCTCGCTAACTCCCGCACCAACCTACACACGCACAACCAACGATAGCAATTTCTTCAAGTAGAACTATTCAACAAATATATATTACGTTCTGGAACAGGTACCGCGAACAAAATCGGCAATATGGGTTTCGCTGAAATCGGTCAGCTGGGGACCTTCTAGCGTATGCCACACAAGTATGAGGCGAGGCATTCGAGAACAGTGGGAAAGCACTAGCTGTTTCCCTTGAAGTCTCGAAGGCCTTTGACAAAGTTCGGCACACTAGCCTTTTGGGTAAGCTTCCGGCGTACGGCTTATCCCCTGGTCTGATTGAATGGGTAAAGGACTTTCTGAGTGAACAGTCTCTCCGGATCGTCGTCGATGGCTGCTCATCCGATCCTATGACGACTAAGGCTGGTGTTCCTCAGGGGTCCGTCCTCTCCGCATCTCTTCCTGCTGCATATTAATGATCTGCTTATGCCCGGTATCTATGGGTATACAGACGATAGCACCGTTGTAGAGAGATACCAACCAAGTCCTCGAGCCAGTCGGGATCAAATCCAGTCCGAAAGAGAAGCTATGGTAGAGCCAGCTCACCTTGGCTCCTTCTTTCCGAAATGTATCACTGGAATGTACCGACCGCCTTCAGTTGTTAGGGTTTAAGATACCCTCAAATCTGAACTTTGGGCGGTTCATTGAGTCCAAGGCCAAAGCAGCTGCAAGGAAGCTGAGAGTCCTTGCAAAGGTGCAGCGATACTTCACGCCGGGACAGCTGCTTACTTTATATGAAGCGCAAGTGCGGTCGTGCATGGAGTATTGCTTCCATATATGGGCCGGTGCTGCAAAATGCCACCTGGCAGCATTGGACTCAGTGGAGAGACGTGCTAAGAGGCTCATTGGTTAAACTTGATGTGGTTAAAACCAATCTTACCAGCCTCGAACACAGACGCAACGTAGCCAGTCTTTCGATTTTCTACAGGATGCATTTCAGAAAGAGTGCGCAGGAATTGCATTATTTAATTCCTCCCTCTCCCTTCCAATATCGGACAACTAGACGTTCGGCCAATCTCCACCTTTTCGTTGTTGACTTACCACGCATTCGAACCAAACAGTTCGCTACGTCGTTCATCATGCGTACAGCAAAGGAGTGGAATAAGTTGCCAGCATCTGTCTTTCCATCCGATTACAGTGTGGGTGTCTTCAAGGTAAGAGTGAATAGGCTTTTGTTAAGTCAGTGCGCTTCACCATCTTAGGCTACATCACCACTTACCATCGTATATAAGCGCTGGCTTAGTAGAATTCTTCTTTAAGTGCAATTTAAGTGTATTATCACAAATTTTCACATTTTTTTTATAGGAGTGGGGCAAACGATCATACGGCTCACCTGATGGTAAGGGACTACTACCGCCGCCCATGAACTACTGAAACAGCAGGGGATTGCAGATGCGTTGCCGGTCTTTAAAAAAGGAGTAAACTCTTTTCTTGAAGATCCTTAAGTCGGTATCGGTCCGGAAAAATCGCTGGTGGTATTCAATTCCACAAGAAAGTTGTGCGAGGAAGAAAACTTCTAAATCGCACAGTGGTGGACCACCAATCATCCAGATGGTATGGATGGTATCCAGATGGTATAGATGATAAACATGCAACATGCAAATAACAGAAGCCAGTTATTTCAATACTACTGACAGACACATTAATTTTATTTGTGTATGCTGGGTTATTAATTTGGCCTTCCCTTGCAAGTGACCACGAAATCGGAAATCAGAAATGTTTATTTGCTTTAAACATGGTAGTACAAAGATCTTAATATAGTTTGACTTATAACTGTCATGCAAATTTAAAAGTAGTTACATTTTAATCTATTTAGAGCTAAAAATAAGTTAATAGACTAAATATAAAACTAATTGTAAACTGCACACTATTGGATATGTCGACGCCGAGGATTCCGATGCTAGCTGTGGCAGGAGGGGGAGTGCCTTGAAACTGAGAAAATACGACAATACGACAAAGGGATTCCTTTTAGCGATAAACGCGCAAACTTGTGTCTTCTGGGGATTGAACTGGACTAGATTTAGTCGCCACCAATCCGCGACTTTGTTCAGCAAAGACTCGATTTCAGACACAATTTTGTCCTGGTACTCTGCAAACGTTTTCCCGAGAAATATTGGCACGATGGGTGTATAAGGCATCACCAGTGCTGTCGTCTGCATAGCAATGAATGTTACCAGCTTGCAACATATCATTGATATGCAAAAGAAACAGCGTTGGTGATAGCACGCAGCTTTGTGGAACACCATCGTTAGTAGGCTTGTAATCAGAGCATGCACCGTCTACTATGACCTTGATGCTCCTATCAGCAAGGAAACTGGTGATCCAATTGCACAATTTCTCGGGAAGCCCATAGGAAGGCAGCTACGAAAGAAGCGCTATGTGCCGGACCTGATCGAAGGCCTTCGCTATGTCCAAACTAACGCAGCCAATCCCTCCCCTTGAACTCTACTGCTTCCGCCCATCTATGAGTCAAATAGATCAGAAGATCACCAGCTGATCGACCCCGACGAAAGCCGTATTGGCGGTCACTAATTAGCTGGTGATCCTCAAGGTACCTCATGAGCTGGTAGTTTATAATAGACTCCATTATTTTGGAGAACAAGGAGGTGATTGCGATAGCCCTGTAGTTGGACGGGTCTGAGCGGTCGCCTTTTTTAGGGATCGGGTGGACCAAAGCTGTCTTCCAAGAATTCGGGACTACACCTAGGAGTAGGAGTACCGGAAAAGACGCGTTAAAGCCGGTGCCAACTCCGGTGCACCCGTCTTCAGTAAAATGGGAGGGACTCCATCAGGTCCACTCGACTTGCTGACGCCCAGGGAGAAGATTACTTTGCGAAACGAGCGCTGTGTAAACCGCACATCCGGCATGGAGCACTCACATCGCGGGATGGTCGGCGGTGTGTTCCCCCCATCATCTAGAGTCGAGTTGGACGCAAAGAGAGAGCCTAACAGATCGGCTTTCTCCTTTGCAGCATGGGCCAGTGAGTCGTCCTCTTTGTGCAGTGATGGAAGAGATGGCTGACAGAAGTTCCTTTGGACAGCCTTGGTGAGAGACCAGAATGCACGGGTTCCCGAAGAAAGGTGAACTGGCTTCTCGCCAATTCTGCCGATGTGCCTTGTTGCCAAGACCTTGTTTTAGCAATGACTTTTTTGAAGGACCTGGAGGAGGAATTATACTTCTTTTTAAGAGCGTTGGTGTTTATATCCCGAGACGCTGATGCGTCAGCCCACGCCCGGTAGCACTCCTGCTTATAGCGTGTTGCTATTTTACAGGAACGGCCAAACCATGGCTGGGTTCTGCTTCCGATGAGCACCACAGAGGATGGAATAAAAAGTTCCATACCCTGAAGTCACACAAGTTGCCACATCAGCAACAGAATCAGCAACAACGCTGGGATCTTCCGACTAGAAGCAAACCCACCCCCAAGGGTAGGATGCAAAAAAAGACTGCAATCTACTTCAATCGGCGACCTATAGTGCCAAACACGGCGGCAACCTGTAGAATGCAACCGCGAAGTTAGTGTGAGTGGCATTACACTCCGGACAAGACAATGGTCCGACGAGCCTAAAGGAGCGTCGACTGAAACCTGATATCCGTCCGGATGAGAAGTCAGCAGAAGGTCCAACAGGGAAGGTGTATGATCCTCCACGTCTGGAATCCGCGTAGGCGAAGTAACCAGCTGTGTAAGACCATATGCCAAAGCTAAGTAGATAGATAGATAGATAGATAAAGCATTTATTTGTTTCTCCAATCACACACGTAAATTCAGTAACTAAACTAAGTACAAAGTAGCATATTACGAAAAAAATAATTTACAAAAACTTAAAATCTAAATGTACATGTGTGTTGCAGTTTGACCAATGGGTCCTAGCTCAGCGATTAATATTGCTCAGAGAGCAAACACTGATTTTCAGCTATTACCCTGGAGATGACGAGAAGAAAATGAGCACAATAGTTAATCAGTGTAAATATGTTTATTTGAAAGATGTGTCCTTTCAGCCCTACGATTTGCATCCTGGGTTTAATTTAGTAAAATTACTGAAGGGGCGTGTAAGTGTGTAAGTTTGCGTACAAATTAAAAGTAGTACCTAAAAGGCTTAGACAGCTATGATGAGTTAGCAGGAACAAAAAAATACCGTGGTTTATAGCTGGCAAACAAAGTGTTTGGGAACACCTTGTTTTTGTTTATGTAGAAGATATGTTTTGAATTTATTTTTGAAATTGTAATTGGTGTTAAGATTTCTTATTGGTGGTGGGATGTTATTCCAACACTTCGTTGCCATATATCGGAAACTACCAGCAAATGCTGCTGTTTTATGGCTGTGATACAGGAGTGCTGATCTTATGGACCTCAATTGTTTTCCGGAATTTTGCTTAGCAAATTTGATCTTTACATGCAGGTACTCTGGTTTTTTAAACTTAATGACATTAAAAACAAGCCCTCCTAAATGTAGCTCTCTACGTGAGTCCATGTTGAGCATGGAAGCAGTGTTCAAGAAAGGAGTAATGTGACTTCTGGGGGGGACATCAAAACAGAACCGACAACATGCATTTTGCACGCGCTGTATTAGTCGTTTTGTTTTGCTGAAAATTCGAGGTCCATAAACAACATCTCCGTAGTTAAGCCGAGATAAAATTAATGACTCGCAAAGAGTAATGCGTGACGGTACAGATAGTTGGTCACGGATATGGTATAATACCTTTAGACGATAAAAACAGTTTTTTACCATATTAAGGACATGATTTTCAAATCTAAGATTACTGTCGAAGGTTATACCAAGGTTTTTGGCTTCATCCACGCGCAATATATGTGTACCATTAATCTTAACGTCTAGCTCACCACAAATTCTACTTATTTGCGCCTTTGTGCCCATGACTATATATTTTGACTTTGAGGGGCTATATATTTTGACTAAGTCATAAACAGATCTCCCCGCATGATCGGTTGAACGCAAACCGAGCCATTCGGCGTGGTGGGCGTTAAAATCACCAAGAATCACGATCTCTGCGGATGGGATCTGCTGTAACAAGGAATCTGTAGCCGTTTGGACGTGGTCTATGAGTCGGTCTGTCTCCGCTATGGGACCTATAGAGGCACCCGTAGACGCGGGAAATCTCGTCACATGTCCACCTCTGAACATTAAACTCCCCCAAAGAATGCCACAAAACACGGTCTCGAGCCACCTGCATCCGTCGACTTCCTGCGTCTCTTATCAGATCATCATCCCATCTAATGGGTGCCGCCTTACATTTCGCTTATCGATACAATGCTACCACTCGAGAAACCGGAATGCGATAGATTATAATAAATTACCACTAATTTAATATATATTATTTAATGAATAAGCCTGAACGAATTACGCATGCAAAAATTTTTATATGTATTAGTATTTTAACAAGACCATTTGAAGAGATAAAATAAGTCTTTATGATTCCACATTTTGGTATTCATTTAAGTATCAAATGTACTTTTAACCTGCCACATTCTCACGCTAAAGCAGGATAGTCATCTGCACATGGCACATTTCTTAACTATATCCAGGTAGTAGGCACCTCATATGACCGAATACCCCAAGGGAGACACCTAAGACCATTACTTTTGTTAAGCTTCGTTCAAACTGAGGCGAATCCCACGCAGGACGCGGGACATGAAACTGCGCGATTCGCTCGCTCGGTTAGCCTCCCAAGATGAGGCGAAACCCGCACGTATTATTTTTGGTTTCTCAATAGGAAAACATGTCTTTTGATATTAAAGCTAAGGCTTTCATGTTATTAGCATTAACTGCAGCAGAATCTCAAGATGTGAGAAGGAAAGAAGAAAATGAGTTCATGAGCCGAGTACTAAACGCATAGAATTTGAAGTTTCATACTTTGATACCCCCATTCATCATCATCATCATCATCATTAAGGCCCTGCACAAGTCCACTGTTGAACATAGGCTTCCCCCAAGGAATGCCACAAAGCACGGTTCCGAGCCACCTGCATCCATTGACTTCCTACATGTCTTAACAGGTCGTCACTCCTATCTAGTGGAGGGACGCAATACACTTCGCCTACCGGTACGAGGCTGCCACTCGAGAACATTTTTTCCCCATCGGTTGTCGGTTCTTCGAGCTATATGGCCAGCCCATTGCCACTTCAGCTTACTAATCCTTTGGGCTATGTCAGTTACTCTGGTTCTACTACAGATATCCTCATTTTTAAGTTTATCACGCAGAGAAACCCCGAGCATAACCCTCTCCATAACTCGCTCAGCGACCTTGAGCTTCGTCATACGGTCACCAGTGAAAGACCACGTCTCAAATTCATAGGTTATCACTGGCATCCGGCACTGATTGTACAGTCTCATTTTCAAGTTTTAAGGTATACCTGACGAGAAGATGTGGCGTAATCTCCTGAACGCTGCCCAGCCGAGTTAAATCCGTCGATTGACCTCTCGGTCGAAGTTGGACTTACCTAGTCAGATTATTTGTCCAAGTAAACATACTTGTCAACAACTTCGAGCTTAGTGCTACGAGCAACTACCGGCATAGGTGTGACATGGACGTAAACATGATTTTTGTTTTGTCCATATTCATCTTAAGGCTTATCCGTTGGGAGACACTATTGAGGTCATTGAGCATAGTGCTTAGAGTCTCTAGCGATTGTGCCATAAGGACTATATCGTCGGCAAATCGAAGGCGAGTGATTTACTCGTCATTGATGTAAACGTCTTACAATGCAGCGGTGAAGAGTTTCGGGGATATTACGTCACCCTGTCTTACACCTCTCTGCAGTTGGATAGATTTCGTACTCTGGTTCTGGACTCGGATAGCCATTGTAGCCCTACTGTACAAACACTTCAGCACTTCGATATACCGACAGTCCACTTGGCACCGCTGAAAGGACTGCAGCAACGCCCAAATTTCGACGGAATCGAAAGGCTTTCTCATAGTCCACATACGCAAGACAACGTCTTCGGTCTTCTGTACAGTTTGCCGAAGGGTATGTATGTGGTCTATGGTGCTAAAGCCTTTTCGGAAACCAGCTTGTCCGGGAGGCTGGAAGTCGTCGAGTCTGCGTGCGAGACGATCCCGGGAACTTGCTGTTTTTAAGGTGCTGGAGAGCCATTCTAATCTCGCTCAGACTGACGTCCAGGATATCATCGGAATAATGTCGGATAAGACTTGCTCTTGGATCGTTACTCACACTTGCGTGTGGCTCCAACGAAGACGTATACAGCTGCCCATAGAACCTCTCAATCTCACTTAAAATCTCGTAAGAACCGGAACCGGTCCCGGAAACGACGTTGCCACACCCAGTCTTCAGCTTCGGCAGTTGGATATTTCTGGCAGACATATCTCTGGCAAAGATTGGGGGATGAAGCTGCTTGCGTCCGTAGGAATTACATGAATCCTGATTCCCTACACGTATCCCCTGGATAGTGCTAAACGAGCAGTACTACATACTGATGATAGGTTGGTCCTCTACTAGTGACTGGCCCGGCTGAGGGGTTAGTTACCACCCACCTGGCAAAGACATACCGCCAAATGATGCAAATCGTGTTCCGGTATGATGTTAGGTGAAACCCATTTCTTAGGGAGAATGGGTCTGGACAGTTGCGTTACGGATACGAACCGGTTGCGACGCGGCCGGTTTTTAGTGTCAGGTGCCTGGTTATGGAGGTTAGCGGGATCCGAAGCACGGTTGCACCGCTGGCCGACCGTAGATAGTTGGAGGCCCAATTAATGAGCCAGCCACTCATGAAAGGGTGCCCCGCCATCTTACTAAAATCCTGGGATGGCTCCACCATGCCCGTTGGCGACCGAAGGAGAAGGCCTGGTGGCGATTTCCAGGGGGATTCGGGCGTCCCCGCGATCTCCATGCTAGGTACCATCGATGCTGTGATTCTGTTTGCGTCCCTAGGTTATATGTGTGACGCCTCGTCCAACTGCCATTCTCTCAACCTATTCACTCCCACCATTAATGAAAAAAAGGAAAAAGAAGAGTAAGTTTGTACAGCGGTTGCACTCCCTCTCTATCAAAGTGCATCTCACAAACATCCGAGACCTGTACTGTAATCTCAATGCAGTCCATTACCACCTTGAGACTGACAAGCCGCACTTACTCTTCTTGACTGAGACAGATCAGATGTCCTGTAGATGCGGCGTACCTTGGCTACCCTGGGTACACATTGGAGCATAATTCCCCTCAGCGCGCCGGAATCTGTGTTTACGTCCGCAACGACATCTGCTGTAAGCGTCTCCGTCAACTTGAAGACCCCAATTTCTCTACGATCTGGGCATTGATAGACACAGGAATGGATACAATTATTTATTTTTGTATCTACCGATCGCACAACGGTGACCAGGAGATAACTAGGCGGTGTGAACACCTCAGTGAAGCCTCTGTTGTGGCTCTAAATCGGTACTCTAATGCACAGTTCGTTTTCCTGAGGGACTTTAATGCCTGTCATCAGGACTGGCTGTTCCCATACTAGAAGACTGAACATGCTGTGAGAGAGGCGTGGAATTTTGCCTTGTCGCTGGAGCTCTCCCAGCTGGTACAACAAGCGTCTAGGGTACTTGATGTGCATGGGCACACAGCAAACTGCCTCGACCTTCTACTGACGACCGATCCAGACATGTACGATGTTCCGGTTACCACACCCTTGGAAAATTCTGATCACTATCTGGTGAAATCTGTGTCGTTATATTCCCCACCTAACTACGATTTCCACCGAGTGCGACGAATGTGGCGATACAAGTTAGCAGATTGGGATGAGATGCGGCATTTCTTTGCATCTAATCCTTGGCGGCAGGTCTGCTCCTTCTCCTCTGAAGACCTGTCGAGCTGCGCGGATGCCATAACCAATGTGATACGTCAAGCGATGGAGTACTTCATCTCCTTTGCTGACGTGCCCATTGGTGGTAAAGCTTGCCCATGGTTTAACGCCGAGTACGCTCGTGCTGAAAAGCACAAGTACTTATCTTGGGTCGATACTCGAAACCGTCAAGCTCCGGATGTTAGCCTTAAGAAGAGAACCATTAACCAAGCCGCCAAGTCCTGCAAAAAGGCATTACGCCAAGCCAGTTTCGACCACATTAAACGCATAGGCACAAAGCTCTCCAAAACCATCAGGCAGTAGAGCTTTTTGGTCTCTCGCCAAAGGGTCGAGACAAACTTCTGTCGGTCTACACTACCTCTGCTGGAAAAACCAGATGGGCCACTGGCGCAAAAAGCGAACTTATTTGCTTCTCTTTTTGCCTGCAATTCGCGTCTGGACAGTACCAAGAACGTACCATCTCAATTACCCCACTACGGTATAGCCCTTCATAGCTACTGCCTGAGACCTGTATACCGACGTATACAAGTTTAGCAATCAGTAGATTGTGCGAAATTTTATCGAATGCTTTTGAAAAATCGGTATACACGGTGTCAACCTGATAGCCTTTTTTCATGGCCTCCAATGTTTCATCCTGAATCTCTATAAAATTATATATATATATATATATATATATATATATATATATTCTATAAAATATTAAATTTGAGTAACGCTTGTGTATAAATTACAAAGCATGTATAAGGACTCACTATTTCGAGGTCAGTTGGTCTCTTGGCATGATGGAGACGTGCCCGTAGATACGCCAGACGCTGTTGATCATGCTCCGGTGCCGTTAGTATTGTAGCGGGCTCCAACGCAGAGGGAGACAGCAGTTCTGGCGAGTAATTCCCGTTTTCGTATAGCGCCACGCAAGCCGTTCGACCTTCCTCGCATTCCCAATCCGAAGTTTCTGCTTCTGGTTGTGATTGTTCGGCCTCCTCTTTAGTTGGCGTTTTCGGCTCAGGTGACTGAGATCTGTTGAATTTTAGTTACAATTTTACATTTAAAAAAAACTTACATTATTTACCTTATCTATGGGATGTATACCATGCAGTCGCACATAGACTCACTGGTGACACATGATGATCAGCGAAGTCTCAGCTAACCCCACTCCGTGCCAACTTAGCAAGAAAAGGTCTTGAGAGGTACATGCGTGTTGGTAGACTGTTAGGGAATGGTTAGACTCGATTCCGACTGGTACTGGTAAAGACTTCTATATATACAACTAGACGAGCTCTACGATGCAAATACATTGCGCACTAAGTTACGGTCAATTGTCCGTAACTTCCTAAATCGCCTGCGAGCGGACGAGCAGACTAGTTCTTTGTTTTGTAAGCTGCAAACGTTGTTATCGACAATATAACACAGATTTTGTTTTATGTGACTAAGAAAACTCTGTTATAATTTATGTGCGCACTTTGTCAACGTGATGTAAGTTTATTACAGAGTATGTAACTTTCCTTTGTATTTGCCTAAAAATAGTCATCATTATCATTACAGCCTTTCATAAGTCCACTGCTGAACATAGGCCTCCCCCAAGGAATGCCACAAAGTACGGTCCTGAGCCACCTGAGGAACCCGTGCATTCTGGTCTCTCGCCAAGGCTGTCCAAGGGAATTTCTGTAAGCCATCACTACCATCTCTGCACAGGGAGGACGACTCACTGGCCCACGACGCAAAAGAGAAGGCCGACCTTTTAGGCTCCCTTTTTGCGTCCAACTCGACTGTTGATGACGGGGGGAACACACCGCCGACCATCCCGCGGTGTGAGTGCTCCATGCCGGATGTGCGATTCTCACAGCGCTCGGTTCGCAGAGCACTCCTCTCCCTTGACATCCACAAGTCGAGTGGGCCTGACGGAATCCCCCCAATTGTGCTGAGGACGTGTGCTCCGGAGTTGGCACCGGTTCTAACGCGTCTTTTCCGGTACTCCTACTCCCTAGGCGTAGTCCCGAAATCATGGAAGACAGCTTTTGTCCACCCGATCCCTAAAAAAGGCGACCGCTCAGATCCGTCCAACTACAGGCCTATCGCCATCACCCCCTTGTTCTCCAAAATAATGGAATCCGTTGTAAACTGCCACCTCATGCGGTACCTTGAGGATCACCAGCTGATTAGTGACCGCCAGTACGGTTTTCGTCGGGGTCGATCAGCTGGTGATCTTCTGGTCTACTTAACTCATAAATGGACGTTGGCAGTAGAGTCCAAGGGGGAGGCATTGGCCGTTAGTTTGGACATTGCGAAGGCCTTCGATCGGGTTTGGCACAAAGCGCTTCTTTCGAAGCTCCCTTCCTATGGGCTTCCCGAGAAATTATGCAATTGGATCACCAGCTTTCTTGCAGATCGGAGCATCAAGGTCGTTGTAGACGGTGCATGCTCCGACTACAAGCCTATTAACGCTGGTGTTCCACAAGGCTGCGTGCTATCACCAACGCTGTTTCTTCTGCATATCAATGATATGTTGCAAGCTGGTAGCATTCATTGCTATGCAGATGACAGCACTGGTGATGCTCTATACACCGGCCGTGCCAATATTTCTCGGGAAAACGTCACCGAGTACCGGAACAAACTTGTGTCTGAAGTCGAGTCTTTGCTGGACAAAGTCTCGGATTGGGGGCGACTAAATCTAGTCCAGTTCAATCCTCAGAAGACACAAGTTTGCGCGTTTACCGCTAAAAAGAACCCCTTTGTCGTATCTCCTCAGTTTCAAGGTACTCCCCTTGTTGCCTCAGCCAGTATCGGAATCCTCGGCGTCGACATATCGAGTAGCGTGCAGTTTCGTGGTCACTTGGAAGAGAAGGCCAAATTGGCCTCTAAAAAGCTTGGCGTGCTCAGCAGAGCGGGACAGTATTTCATGCCGGCTCAACGCCTGCAACTTTACAAGGCGCAGGTTCGGCCTCACATGGAATACTGTTCCCATCTCTGGGCTGGGGCTCCCCAGTGCCAGCTTCTTCCACTTGACCGCATCCAGCGCAGAGCGGCTCGAATCGTCGACGACCGAGTCCTTTCCGATCGGCTCGACTCATTGGCACTGCGAAGAGATGTTGCATCTCTTAGCATTTTCTTTCGCATTTACCATGGGGAGTGCTCTGAGGAATTGTTCGGATTAATCCCAGCCGCCAAATTTCACGAACGCACATCGCGGCAGAACTCCCGATACCATCCACACCATCTGGATGATTGGCGGTCCACCACTGTGCGATTTAGAAGATGTTTTCTTCCTCGCACAACTTCCTTGTGGAATAGTTTACCACCAGCGATTTTTCCGGACCGATACGACTTAGGGACCTTCAAGAAAAGAGCCTACTCCTTTTTAAAAGGCCGGCAACGCATCTGCAATTCCCCTGGTGTTGCGGTTGTTCATGGGCGGCGGTAGTCACTTACCATCAGGTGAGCCGTATGCTCGTTTGCCCCCTCTCCTATAAAAAAAAAAAACCTGCATTCATCGACTTCCTACATGTCTTACCAGGTCGTCACTCCATCTAGTTGGGAGTCGCCCTACACTTCGCCTACCGGTACGAGGCTGCCACTCGAGAACATTTCTTCCCCATCGGTTGTCGGTTCTTCGAGCTATATGGCCGGCCCACTGCCACTTCAGCTTACTAATCCGTTTGGCTATGTCGGTCACTGTGGTTCTACTGCGGATATCCTCATGTCTAAGTTTATCACGCAGAGAAATCCCGAGCATAGCCCTCTCCATAGCTCGCTGAGCGACCTTGAGCTTCCTCATACGACCAGCAGTGAAGGACTACGTTTCAGATCCGTAAGTCATCACTGGTAACACGGACTGGTTGTACAATTTCGTTTTCAAGTTTTGAGTTATACCTGACGAGAAGATGTGCTGTAATTTACCGAACGCTGCCCAGCCGAATTGAATCCGTCGATTGACCTCTCGGTCGAAGTTGGACTTACCTAGTCCGACTATTTGTCCCAGGTAAATATATTCGTCACCAACTTCGAGCTTAGTGCTCCCAACAACTACCGGCATAGGTGTGACATGGACGTTAAACATGATTTTTGTTTTGTTCATGTTCATCTTAAGGCTTATCCGTTGGGAGACACTATTGAGGTCATTGAGCATAGTGCTTAAGTCCTCCAGCGATTCTGCCATAAGGACTATATCGTCGGCAAATCGAAGGTGAGTGATGTACTCGCCATTGATGTTAATACCGCATCCTTTCCAGTCCAATAGCTTGAAAACGTCTTCCAATGCAGCGGTGAAGAGTTTCGGGGATACAACGTCACCCTGTCTTATACCTCTCTGCAGTTGGATAGGTTTCGTACTCTGATTCTGTACTCGGATAGCCATCGTAGCTCTACTGTACAAACATTTCAGCACTTCGATATACCGATAGTCAACTTGGCACCGCTGAAGGGACCGTAGCACCGCCCAAATTTCGAAGGAATCAAAGGCTTTCTCATAGTCCACATACGCAAGGCAAAGTGGCAGATTGTACTTTTCTGTCTTCTGTACAATTTGCCGAAGGATGTGTATGTGGTCTATGGTACTAAAGCCTTTTCGGAAACCGGATTGTTCGGCAGGCTGGAAGTCGTCAAGTCTGCGCGCGAGCCGATTCGTAATGACTCACGAAAACAGCACGTAGACGCGGCTCAGAAGGGAAATCGGTCTGTAGTTCTTCAAGAGAGCGTTGTCGCCTTTCTTGAAGAACAAGACCACCGTACTTCTGCCCCACGCCTTCGGAGTAGTGCCACCATGGAGGACGGAATTAAAGAGCTTCTAAGGACTTCAAGTACCGGTTTTCTACCCACTTTCAAAAGCTCCGCTGTAATTCCATCCTCGCCCGGGGACTTGCCGCTTTTAAGGTGCTGGAGAGCCATTCTAATCTCGCTCAGACTGACGTCCGGGATATCTTCGGAATAGTGTCGGATAAGACTCTATCTTGTATCGTTACTCACACTTGCGTGTGGCTCCAACGATGTCGTGTACAGCTGCCCATAGAACCTCTCAATCTCACTCAAAATCTCAGGTGCCCCGGAAGCAATGCTGCCACACTCGGTCTTCAGCTTTGACAGTTGGCTCTTTCTGGCAGACAGATCTCTAGCAAAGACTTTGGAGCCTTGGTTCCGCTCGATCGCTTCTTTAATACAAGCTGTATTGAAGTTGCGTAAGTCCCGCCGCATGCATTTGGAGATCTGTCTGTTCAGTTGCCTGTATGCTGTCAAATCTGTTGGAGACTGTAGCTTCATCTCCCGTCTAATAGCCATGTGATTAAGAGTGTGATCGGAGAGTTTTTGTGTTCTTCTGCGGCGGGTCTTGCAGAACTTAGCTCCGACCGCATGGACAGTTTCCACGAGCTTGTCATTCATATCGTCCACTTCATTGCAGTCTTGCAGGTGGCCGGAGGCCCTTTTTACTGGAAATGAGGCATTCCATCTTAGTCCTCACGGGTGACAACGCATCTACATTTTGATTTGTAATAGAAGATTGATGTAGATGTCTATGGGCCGCAGCAACCACTTACCATCAGGTTGACTGGGTGCTCGTTTGTCACCCTTATCCTATAAAAAAAAAAGGTCTTCTAGGCATTGAAAACGGTTTTGTAGCTCGAGTAGTGCCTAAAAATAGTAACTGTCGTAAATGAAAATACAATTATGTACATGTACATATTTACTAGGAGTGGGCTGTAATAGGTAAAATCGCATATCTGTTCCGCCTGTTCCAGCTCCACATAGGTAACAGTTCCAAAAACCTGTTATAAAATAGCATTCTGATACTACAGTTGGTAGGTACTTCTCTTTCTACTAAGGTGTTGAATCTATGCGAGAAAAGGAAAGAGCTTGAGACAAGTAACAGGGTGTCACAGTAACATTTTTTATCTTATAAAATTTGTGGCTGTCTTTTAGTGGATTTGTTATCTCGTGGAACAGAAACTGTTATTTCAGTTTGTTTGTCACAGTTACAGTCTGTTATTTTAAGATACCTGTGTCTTTTAATCTGTTACGATAAATACGCCTAACTCCTAATATTTACCGAGCCGGCTACCCGACTAGACGGCACTCGCGCGTGTCACTGTTTTGTTGTTTAGTTCAGCTGTCCGTATACAGGTAGTGACGCAGGTACTCACTGTTGCGGGTCCAGCTGCCCGTCCGGTTGCACGCCCTGCTCGCGCTTGAGCAGCTGCAACTTGCGGCGCAGGTTGTGCTGGTGCCGGTCCCGCAGCCGTGCCCGCGCCATGTGCGCTGCACACAGAATATCATTCGTCACACAATCAACATCATTCAACTCATATATTCTAATAATATACAATACAATATACAAAAACAGTAAACATTTTTAATACCTAGTCAGGTCATAAGTATTGTCACACAGTAAAAACTTTTCTTTTAGAATGCTGGCCACAAAAAAGTTTATTGAATTCGAATTTCGAATTGTTCATGAAAATAAAACTGTATACTTTTTAGAATTTTACTCATTTTTAAATATGGAGTGGACGCTTAAAGAAGACCGTGTTGCAGTTATTGCGTTGCATCGTTGCGGTTACGCGCCAATTCAAATTTTTGACATACTGAAAAATTTGAATATAACCAAAAGATTCGTTTATCGTACCATCAAACGATACAATGAAGACTCTAGTGTAGATGACAGGTCAAGAAGTGGTCGCCCTCGGTCTGTTAGGACTCCAGCAGTGATAAAAGCTGTGAAAGCGCGAATTCAAAGAAATCCCAAACTTAAGCAGAAACTGTTGGCCCTTCAGATGGGGTTAAGCAGAACCACGGTGAAAAGGGTGTTAAATGAAGACTTAGGGCTTCGGGCATATCGAAACTATAATAAAAACAGGACATTGTTTGAATGCTCGTCTAATGGACCTGAGACTGAAGAGATGCCGCGCTTTGTGGAAGCGGTACGCGAGAAAGAAATATCGGGAAATTCTTTTTTCGGATGAAAAAAATTTTACCGTAGAAGAGAGCTACAACAAACAAAATGATAAGGTGTACGCACACAGTAGTGAAGAAGCGAGCAACCGTATTCCGCGTGTCCAACGAGATCATTTTCCATCCTCGCTCATGGTATGGTTGGGAGTTTCTTATTGGCGCTTAACAGAGGTACATTTTTGTAAGAAAGGTGTAAAAACGAATGCAGTTCTGTATCAAAATACAGTCCTGACGAACCTTGTGGAACCTCAACGGAAACTGGCCATCTGCGTAGGATAAAATTATAGTGCGCGAGTGTATGCGCAAGCATAGATGCAGTGCTCCATTCCCTCACTCTCAATGTCCAATAGAGCAGTAATCCGACACAACCGGAGAGAGATCAGGCGCAAGAGCAACGACTTTTCGTGTTTTCTGGGGCATGAAACACCACCAACATCCTAACTACAGGCTACTACTGAGAATTTCTTGACAGAAAACCCAAAAACTGATTTTGACTCGACCCGGGATCTCATGATCTGTAACTGCGTTTACAACGAACGAGGCAGTTAATATGTACCACATACTAGAATAGACACCGTGAACAAAATCTGTGCGGCAGTGTAGGGCGCGTACGAGGGCGGCACTGAAAATTTCGGGAATCAAGGAAGTGACACAACATTACTATTTAAAAATGTATTTATTGTTTTCGAAGTATTCTCCGCGAAATTTGACACATTTTTCCATACGATGGAACCAATCATTGAAGCAACCATTCCATTCGGAAGTTGGGATCTCCAAAATGGTCGTTTTGTAGGCGTCCACAGCTTCTTCAGGTGATGAAAATCTCTGTCCACGCCATTTATTCTTTATTTTAGGGAAAGTATAGAAATTATTAGGGCTTAGGTCGGGGCTGTACGGCGGATGGTTTAATAATTCTATGTTTTCTTGCTCTAAAAACTCTTTTGTTCTGTGTGCGGTGTGAGAACTCGCAATGTCGTGATGGAGGATGATTCGGCGGTTGCAGTTCTCTTTACGGAGTTCAGAAACGACCTGTGGCAAACAAATGCTAGCATACCATTCCGCATTAACCGTTCTTTGTTCCTCAAGAGGAATAGTCGTAACATGGCCGGTTTTGGAGACAAACGTGGCCACCATTTTTTTTGCAACACTCCGTGAACGAACAATTTTTGTTGGCTTTAACTCATTTTCGAACACCCAAACTCGTGACTGGTTTTTTGTTTCGGGTTCGTACGCGTATATCCAGGATTCGTCACCTGATACGATGTTGTATACAGCATTTGAGGATCCTGCGTGGAATCTTTCGAGAGTTCTGACGCACCAAGTAACGCGAGCCGCTTTTTGCTCTTCACAGAGCGAATGCGGTATACATCGGGAAAACAACTTTTTTACACCTAATTGTTCATGCAAGATTATTTGTATTTGACTCATGCCAATGTCTAAAGTTGCCTGAATTTCGCGGTATGTCACATGTCGGTCTTCCTCAATCAGCTTACGCACAGCATCGTTTTCTTGGGTGACTGCAGTTTTTGGACGACCTTGACGGGGATCATCACTGAGCTTGACACGTCCACGTTGAAATTCAGCAAACCAGCGATAAATTGTGGTTTTGGATGGGGCTTCATCACCAAATGCAGAAATCATCCGGTCAACACACTGTTTTTGTGTTAAACCACTTCGAAAGTCATAATAAATCATCGCTCTTGCATTTTCTCGAGTCAATTCCATTTTCTCAACGACTAAACAAGTTTGACAAAACCTTCAAAAAGTCAAGACCGAGAATCTTTTTTTAAATAAATAAATGGTATTCGATTTTTAAAACCAAGGGGTTTTCAATTAAAAAGATTTTAATATGACAGGAACAGTGGAAATATTCCATTCCCGATACTTTTAGTGCAGCCTCTGTAGTTGGAGCCACAGAGTACCTTTTTATGGCACAGACAAAGTTAGTTTAAACGTAGTGGACCATGCTGCAGCTATATAAGTGGTATAGTTGTAGCACAAATGGGTCGGCTAGACCGGGGAAGGACCATGCTCCACAAAATACAATTCACGCGATGATCGCGTATTCGCGTTCTATTAGGACACCCAGTTTTTGATATAGCACGAGCACGCGATAGTCGCATCGCTTACTCGCGCGATGATCGCGTAATCGCGTTGTGCTAGGACGACGCCTAAGGGTAGTAAAATAGAGGATAAAGTTTTTAATGATCATTTTTAGACGACATTCTATTGAGATCACATAAAAGGGTTAAAAATTAAGCTTTTATTAAAATGTAAAACCCGACTTTATAAAACGAAAATTCTCTTTTAGAAAAGAAAAAACCCAAAAGCTTCTTATGTCGGAGCTATAATTCTTCTATAGACTATATCTTACCACTGTATTCAGAAAACGGTAGCTTTTATGAGGAAATCGTTTTATTCTTTTTAGTTAAAAAAAAAAAAACTAGTTCCTCGTTCTATCACCAAAGCAATATACTGTTACGAGTCATATAAAGTACTGTTAGGACCATTGACGTACTAAACTAGGACACAATAATTATCAAAATAGTTCCTAATTTATTATAATGTATTTTTTTAATAAGCAATCAAAGCAAGCAACTATTATGGTCGTTTCCTATACACTTGTACATCTTAAGTGGATCTAAACGGCTGTGTTTCGTATGGTGGGTGTAGAGAACCGGAGATCCTTTTTTCTGGAAACGAAGCATTCCATCTTAGTCCTCAGGGGTCACAACGCATCTGCATTTTGATTCTTAATCGAGTCTTAAGTCTATGGGCCACAGCATCCACTTACTCATCAGTTGGACTGTGTGCTCGATTATCACACTCATTCTATAAAAAATAGTATATTTCATTACGAGTGCGGAAAGCCTGTTAATGCAAAGAGTTCCGACAAATGTCTACCCGAGCCAAGGCGCAGCCGAAGGTGAGGGTTGACAGTCGGAACAAGTTGCAATGACAGTTCCGCACGTGTACTGAACAACTATTTTTAATACAGTTGCGAAAAATGAAGCAATTTAATAAAGAACATTTTTGGAAAATGGCGCCTGGGTAGGCAAAGGGAACGATGCCCATACAGCCAAGTCTTCAGTAGAATTTTTTTATTGATATGAAATGAAAATGAAATTTAATGAGATGAAATGAAATGAAACCTAACCTAACTAATTGAATCATATCATTAAATCTGATATTGCAACAAGTTAGTAGCTTCTTTTTAGAAATATTTGCATGAATCATAAAAACTTCTGATTTTTTTTTTTAGTAAAAACTTCGTGGTTGGTATTTTCTTTTTAATAGACATTATTTTGACAGTTGGGAAAGAGAACGCACGATTTCGGAAAAGGTAAAGAAAAAGCACAAGTATGTAATAGCCCACATTCCGAACGCTATACGTCCCTGCAATACGTCACTTTTTGGGCAACTGTATTAAAAAAACATTTACATTTACGGCCGATTAGAAATCAAAATATTGATGCGTAGTCAACACATGTAAATGGAATGCCTTATTTTCAGTCTAAGGATCTCCGGACATTATTTTCATCGTTCTACCCTCATCTATTGCAATACAAATAATATTTTATATCCTCACTAATAAATACTAAAATCAAAACTCACCTTTAAGCTGACTGAGCAAACTCTCCCAGTAGCCGACGTCAACACCGTCGTGGCGGCCGCTGATTTTCTGTTCTATCTGTGTTTGCAATGCCTCCAGTTGCGCGCCGGTCTTGCCTTTGAAAATCTGTAAATTATTAAACTTGTTTAATTATTTGTTTCCTACGACATCTGCCACGACACGGTGCACGCCGTCGCGGGCAGGCGCCGCAGCTTGCTGAGCTCGTCCAGCGAGCAAGCGAGAGAGCGAGAGAGAACGAGAGAGAGAGGGAGAGACCTGCGTGACGTCGTCGGCCACGGCGCGGTGCACGCCGTCGCGGCGCGCGTCGGGCGCGGCCAGGCGCCGCAGCTTGCTGAGCTCGTCCAGCGAGCAAGCGAGAGAGCGAGAGAGAACGAGAGAGAGAGGGAGAGACCTGCGTGACGTCGTCGGCCACGGCGCGGTGCACGCCGTCGCGGCGCGCGTCGGGCGCGGCCAGGCGCCGCAGCTTGCTGAGCTCGTCCAGCGAGCAAGCGAGAGAGCGAGAGAGAACGAGAGAGAGAGGGAGAGACCTGCGTGACGTCGTCGGCCACGGCGCGGTGCACGCCGTCGCGGCGCGCGTCGGGCGCGGCCAGGCGCCGCAGCTTGCTGAGCTCGTCCAGCGAGCAAGCGAGAGAGCGAGAGAGAACGAGAGAGAGAGGGAGAGACCTGCGTGACGTCGTCGGCCACGGCGCGGTGCACGCCGTCGCGGCGCGCGTCGGGCGCGGCCAGGCGCCGCAGCTTGCTGAGCTCGTCCAGCGAGCAAGCGAGAGAGCGAGAGAGAACGAGAGAGAGAGGGAGAGACCTGCGTGACGTCGTCGGCCACGGCGCGGTGCACGCCGTCGCGGCGCGCGTCGGGCGCGGCCAGGCGCCGCAGCTTGCTGAGCTCGTCCAGCGAGCAAGCGAGAGAGAACGAGAGAGAGAGGGAGAGACCTGCGTGACGTCGTCGGCCACGGCGCGGTGCACGCCGTCGCGGCGCGCGTCGGGCGCGGCCAGGCGCCGCAGCTTGCTGAGCTCGTCCAGCGAGCAAGCGAGAGAGAACGAGAGAGAGAGGGAGAGACCTGCGTGACGTCGTCGGCCACGGCGCGGTGCACGCCGTCGCGGCGCGCGTCGGGCGCGGCCAGGCGCCGCAGCTTGCTGAGCTCGTCCAGCACGATGGTTTGCACGTCCTGCCAGTACGGCTGGTTGGCCTCGCTCTCCAGCTCCTTGTACACCTGCCCACATACACATTAACATTAACACCTTTTTTACTTTCATGGCCCTTGACATCCCCTATCTGCTAAAAAAAAAATTACGATAAAGGGCCAGACATGCATGTTTATTATTGGCCCAGTACTTTTCGTCAGTTTACACTATAACTCTCTCATATGACTGTTTATAGGTCACTTTAAGGACTTAATGCTATTCAAGAAGTGGGATTACAGTAGACTCTCGTTAATTCAAACCTGCGATAATTCGAACCTCTCTATAATTCAAAGTTATCACGAGTTCCCTACAAAATCTCTTTATATTTGGAACTAAATCAATACATTTTTATGCACTTGGTAATTCGAACGAAAATATCATTGCTACGTAACAAAACAACGCGTTAATTCGAACTCATCGGCGTCAAACACTCGACAATTCAAAGTTGCAGAAAGAAAGGCATTTTTTCTCTTAAAAGAAGTTATTGAGCAGTCTGAGTAGCAACAATGTGCTTTGAAGCAAATCAGTATAACAAAGTTCTTTCGAAAGATTAATTAATTCACATTATAAATATGTACACGAATGTATCTCTAAACTATTGTTATTGTTAAAGAATAGCAGTTAATAAATAATAATTGATCAACTAAGTGTTTATAATTCGAAATATTATTTATTTTCTCTCAAAAATTTCGAACCATTTGATATTTCAAACACTCGATAATTCGTAATATTTTAAGAGTCCCTCGAGTTTCGAATTAACGAGTCGACTGTATATGGCATATCAGTTATTTTTTGTAAAAATTGTCTGATTTTTGGAACGAAGTTCCTTAGCAGAGGGTACGAATTTGGCGGATGGGGGCTAGGCGAGAAAAAGTGTAAGATTTTTCCGTCACGACCCCTTCTGACGTAGTATAGATGACCTTGACGGCTATAAGAAAGCGAGATGAAATAATATTCATCTCCTCCCACTTTTCTTTTCCTGCCATGAAAGAAATATTTTATTTTAAATGACGCTTCATTTTAATAGACGTTAGTAATTAATTTATTTGTATTTGTTAATCAATAATATAATACGTTTATCAATAATAATATAATACGATACAATAATAATATATTTCTGCTTCTGTTCCTGTTTCTGTTACGAAAATAACTTCGATCGATTCGAACGATAATATTATCGTGACCATTAAAAATCCTTGGAAACTGGAATTTTTCCAGAAATGAAGTAGTATATGCTAAAAAGCTTATCGTGCTCAACAGAGCGGGACAGTATTTTATACCGACACACCGCCTGCAACTTTACAAGGCGCTGGTTCAGCCTCACGTGGAATACTGTTCCCATCTCTGGGCTAGGGCTCACCAGTGCCAGTGCCTTCCACTTGACCGAGTTGCATCCCTGAGGAATTATTTGGACTAATTCCAGCCGCTCAATTTCACCATCTCACACCGCGACAAAACTCGCGATACCATCCATACCATCTGGATGGTTGGTGGTTCACCACTGTGTGATTTAAAAGAATTTTCTTCCACGCACAACTTCCTTGAGGAATCGATTATCACCAGCGGTTTTTCCGGACCAATAAGACTTAAGGATGACTCACGCTAGACCGTGTCGGGTCCGAGCCGAGTGTCGGTCACGGTCAACTAATATTACCTATATTTTGTATGGACATTGGACACACACATGCTATACCGAGCGGCAACCGTGTGACTCCCGAGCAATGGACAACGCTCGGAAACAACTCGGTCCCGGCTCGGCTCGGCCATCGGCTCACCATTTAACTATTTTTGCTCGGACGAGTATACTGCATCACGGCGCAACGGTAATTGCTTGGTCGAGGCTAGTCTTTGTAATTACAAGCACGGGACCGGCTCGGTGACCGTGCCACGGCCGACACTCGAGTCGGACCCGACACGGTCTAGCGTGAGTCATCCTTTAGGGACCTTCAAGAAAAGAGCCTTTTCTTTTTAAAAGGCCGGCAACGCATCTGCAATTCCCTTGGTGTTGCAGTTGTTCATGGGCGGCGGTAGTCACTTACCATCAGGTGAGCCGCATGCCCGTTTGCCCCCTCTCCTTTAAAAAAAACCTTCATTTGACACACCGTTAATTTTAATTTTCTTACTAATATTTTGTGGTTGAAAATGCCAAAGATTGAAGACCATATTCAAATTCTCAAAGAATCACTAAAACTCACTCACAAAGTCAGCTTACCTTAATATCTTCAAGCAAGTCTTCAAGGTCCTGCATCTGCAGTCCGTTCAGATATGTATAGGGCTCGTGCATTTCTAATGCGTCCACGCACTCCTCCGAGCTGACGTACCACGCCAACAGATCGATAGGTTTTGCTGCAATTAAGATATTATAGTCATTGTTTTCAAATAACGCTGAATGTAATATGGAAGCAGAATTGAACTAACCAGTCGAGATAGGATAATTTTATACAAAATACCAGTATAATGTTGCTGTTTAGTGTGTGAACTTTATAACTGGTGATGCGATATTAAATATTAGTGCTCAGGGTTGACAATGCATCTAAATTTTGATTTTTTTATAGGAAAGGGTGACAAGCGAGCACACCGTCCACCTGATAATAAGTGGTTGCTGTGGCCCATAGACATCTACATCTATCCTCGTTTGAACCAAAATGCAGATGCGTTGTCACCCGTGAGGACTAAGCTGGAATGCCTCTTTTCCAGTAAAAAGGGTCTCCGGTTCTCTACACTCACCATACGAAACACAGTAATGTTAAGCTGCTATTTTACAAGGTATTCTGTGAGAGCGTGGTCCTTCCCCAGTCGAGCCAACCCATTCGTGCTACAACTATTGTTCGCGCCATGTCACGATATTGTCACGATAATGTCAAGAATCGACGCCAGGGGGCGCGCAGAGCGATGATTTCCTACCGTTTGACGTTCGCGCGAAACCGGATTGGTTGCTTGTGGGGCGGGTCGGAAGTGATTGAATGCAGTGCAGTAACTAGCACGGCGTGAGGTCGTCCGGTATAACCTCTATTAGTGTTGGTTCGTTAGCAAATTTATGCAACGACGAGGAATTTGTGGAGTCTAGAAAAATAGACGCAGGGTCGATTAATTGTTTGGAAGTTAATGTTTAACTGTACCGTCGCGTTAAGTGCCTTTTGTGTGTTGTCTATATAGTTTTTGCGTGCCAGCTAGACTGACTTTGAATCTTAATGCGGGTGTAGTATTTAATATCTTATAATATTGTTGCTACGTGAAACGGAAGTGACCTTTTATCCACCGTTCTTTAGTCGTGCCGTGTGTTACGTTGTTGATTACGATTAACGGGGATTTAGTTGAGTTTGAAGTTAATTAAATGTACAATAAAGTTGATGGATTGAAATAGTGTACAATAAAGTTGATAAACTGAAATAGTGAAATGAAGACAGAAGTTGTCAATTGGTGATCGCCCCCTTTTGAGAGATCTCACCTTTGGAGTAGATGCAGCGCCGGTGGATCTGCGGCCAGACTTCAACGGTCCAGCCAGGTCAAACTTTATACACACCACTAAACATCACTTTACATGCACCTACACCTACGAGGGCGGCACTGAAAATTTTGGGAATCAAGGAAGTGACACAACATTACTATTTAAAAATGTATTTATTGCTTTTCGAAGTATTCTCCGCGAAATTTGACACATTTTTCCATACGATGGAACCAATCATTGAAGCAACCATTCCATTCGGAAGTTGGGGTCTCCAAAATGGCCGTTTTGTAGGCGTCCACAGCTTCTTCAGGTGATGAAAATCTCTGTCCACGCAATTTATTCTTTATTTTAGGGAAAGTATAGAAATCATTAGGGCTTAGGTCGGGGCTGTACGGCGGATGGTCTAATAATTCTATGTTTTCTTGCTCTAAAAACTCTTTTGTTCTGTGTACGGTGTGAGAACTCGCATTGTCGTGATGGAGGATGATGCGGCGGTTGCAGTTCTCTTTACGGAGTTCAGAAACGACCTGTGGCAAACAAATGCTAGCATACCATTCTGCATTAACCGTTTTGTGTCCCTCAAGAGGAATAGTGATAGAGAAAACGTGGCCACCATTTTTTTTGCAACACTCCGTGAACGAACAATTTTTGTTGGCTTTAACTCATTTTCGAACACCCAAACTCGTGACTGGTTTTTTGTTTCGGGTTCGTACGCATATATCCAGGATTCGTCACCTGATACGATGTTGTATACAGCATTTGAGGATCCTGCGTGGAATCTTTCGAGAGTTCTGACGCACCAAGTAACGCGAGCCGCGTTTTGCTCTTCACAGAGCGAATGCGGTATCCATCGGGAAAACAACTTTTTTTACACCTAATTGTTCATGCAAGATTATCTGTATTTGACTCATGCCAATGTCTAAAGTTGCCTGAATTTCGCGGTATGTCACATGTCGATCTTCCTCAATCAGCTTACGCACAGCATCAACGTTTTCTTGGGTGACTGCAGTTTTTGTACGACCTTGACGGGGATCATCACTGAGCTTGACGCGTACACGATGAAATTCAGCAAACCAGCGATAAATTGTGGTTTTGGATGGGGCTTCATCACCAAATGCAGAAATCATCCGGTCAACACACTGTTTTTGTGTTAAACCACTTCGAAAGTCATAATAAATCATCGCTCTTGAATTTTCTCGAGTCAATTCCATTTTCTCAACGACTAAACAAGTTTGACTAAACCTTGTGACAAGACCGAGAATCTTTTTTTAAATAAATAAATGGTATTCAATTTTTAAAACCAAGGACTTTTCAATTAAAAAAAAATTAATATGACAGGAACAGTGGAAATATTCCATTCCCGATAATTTTAGTGCAGCCCTCGTACCTACGGCCTGACCGAGCCTTGGGGCAGTCTTCGCCTCGGAACCAGGTACGTCCTATTTATTTACAGGCATTTTGCTGATCGACTGTGGTGTGTACCTTTATTTGTATTGTAATTTGTATTTAATTTAATAAATAGTAATTGTATTTGTGTAACTTGTATTTAACTTGATTTGATAGTAATTGTATTTGTTATTTGTTAATTCGATTTGTATTTGTGCCGCGTATTAATTGTATTTATTAGTGATGCCATCGCACAAGCTACCGGCGCGTCGCCTGGAGGCGGAGCTGCGTTGGGCCGCCAACGCTCATGCCTTGATAGGACGACCGGATCGGGTCCATAGTTTAGACAAGCGGCTCGAGCAGGTCATGGCCCGAAGGGCCGTAGTGGAGGAGGCTTGCACAGAGCTATTAGCCTCGGATGATGCGGAACAAGGAGTCCTAGATTCCTGCCTCGCGGACTACGAGCAGTTCTTTTCGCTCACGGACGACTTCATCGAGGCTGGAGCCAAGTATGCTAATGAAGCGTGTGAAGCTCGACTGAGTGGCCTGCCCGAGTCCTCTCGGAAGCAGCCTACTCAGCCGGAGCTATTAGAATGACTCCCGACTCTGGACCTGCCAAGGTTCTCCGGGGTCCTCTCCGAATGGCTGACTTTCGTCGGTCTGTTTGACAGCCTAGTGGACGCCCGGAGGGACTTGACACCCAGCCAGAAGATGGGGTACCTCCTGGCATCATTGGAGGGGGAGGCCCTGGGCGTCGTCGGCCATTTGAAATTGTCGGACGACGCCTACCAGAATGCTCGGGACCTCCTCGCCGATAGGTATGCCAACGTCCGGCGGATTGCGGACGAATACGTTAGGCAGCTCATAAACCTCCCGCTACTTAAGGACCGGACCAGACTACGTCCGGACATCGTAAATCCAGTTTTGGTGGCTTGTAACTCGTTGAGGCGGCTGGATTTACCGGTGGACGAATGGTCCTGGATCTTCGCCTCCATTTTGAGGAGAGGTACGGCGGGGACGGCGCCTCCTACATTCCGCCCTTCAGGGACCTGCTGCGGTTCTTGGAACAGTGCCGGCAAATGGAGAACGCAGCAGGCGCCGCAGAGACCCTGCGAGCTGCCGACCGAGCCGTACCCAGGGAAAGGCGGAATCCGACGGGTAAGTCGTCGCCAACCCCCCTAAGGCCGACCGGAGCTCACGCGGGAGGGCGCCGCCCCCTACCATCTTACAGCGGCCTAGCGGCCAGGGAGGCGCCCCCCTGCTCTTATTGTCGAGCATCCGATCACCGGGTGACGTCGTGCCCGAAGTTGCTGGGTAAGCCGGTCCCGGCGAGGCGAACCATCGCGAAGGAGCGCCGCTGGTGCTACTCGTGCTTGGAAAGTTCCAACGAGACTGCCCGCACCAGCGGCCCTGTCCGCACTGCCAGAGCAACCACCATGCCGTTTTGTGCCGGGGTGCGAACGGCGTTTCCTCTCGGGGCTCTGCCGAGCCCTCAGCTCCCACGGGCGGGGGCGCTCAGCCATGCCCTCTGTCGGGCGACGCTCGGCGCTCACCTGCCGGCCACCGTGCCCCTGGGTTTGAAAGGGGTCCCCCCCCCCGACCAGTCGGGGGGTCGTCATCGCGTCCGTCGCGAATGCGTATCTGCGTGCGCAGGTGCGCCTGGTGCAGGTGGAAGGCATCCTCGTGGCGCGCCCAGCTGCCGAACTGAACTGAACTGAACGAGCCGTGTAGTTGTGTACAGTGCGGGTGCGTGCTCACCGCGTCCGTCGCGAATGCGTATCTGCGTGCGCAGGCGCGCCTGGTGCAGGTGGAAGGCGTCCTCGTGGCGCGCCCAGCTGCCGAACTGAACTGAACGAGCCGTGTAGTTGTGTACAGTGCGGGTGCGTGCTCACCGCGTCCGTCGCGAATGCGTATCTGCGTGCGCAGGCGCGCCTGGTGCAGGTGGAAGGCGTCCTCGTGGCGCGCCCAGCTGCCGAACTGAACTGAACTGAACGAGCCGTGTAGTTGTGTACAGTGCGGGTGCGTGCTCACCGCGTCCGTCGCGAATGCGTATCTGCGTGCGCAGGCGCGCCTGGTGCAGGTGGAAGGCGCCCTCGTGGCGCGCCCAGCTGCCGAACTGAACTGAACTGAACGAGCCGTGTAGTTGTGTACAGTGCGGGTGCGTGCTCACCGCGTCCGTCGCGAATGCGTATCTGCGTGCGCAGGCGCGCCTGGTGCAGGTGGAAGGCGTCCTCGTGGCGCGCCCAGCTGCCGAACTGAACTGAACGAGCCGTGTAGTTGTGTACAGTGCGGGTGCGTGCTCACCGCGTCCGTCGCGAATGCGTATCTGCGTGCGCAGGCGCGCCTGGTGCAGGTGGAAGGCGTCCTCGTGGCGCGCCCAGCTGCCGAACTGAACTGAACTGAACGAGCCGTGTAGTTGTGTACAGTGCGGGTGCGTGCTCACCGCGTCCGTCGCGAATGCGTATCTGCGTGCGCAGGCGCGCCTGGTGCAGGTGGAAGGCGTCCTCGTGGCGCGCCCAGCTGCCGAACTGAACTGAACGAGCCGTGTAGTTGTGTACAGTGCGGGTGCGTGCTCACCGCGTCCGTCGCGAATGCGTATCTGCGTGCGCAGGCGCGCCTGGTGCAGGTGGAAGGCGTCCTCGTGGCGCGCCCAGCTGCCGAACTGAACTGAACGAGCCGTGTAGTTGTGTACAGTGCGGGTGCGTGCTCACCGCGTCCGTCGCGAATGCGTATCTGCGTGCGCAGGCGCGCCTGGTGCAGGTGGAAGGCGTCCTCGTGGCGCGCCCAGCTGCCGAACTGAACTGAACGAGCCGTGTAGTTGTGTACAGTGCGGGTGCGTGCTCACCGCGTCCGTCGCGAATGCGTATCTGCGTGCGCAGGCGCGCCTGGTGCAGGTGGAAGGCGTCCTCGTGGCGCGCCCAGCTGCCGAACTGAACTGAACTGAACGAGCCGTGTAGTTGTGTACAGTGCGGGTGCGTGCTCACCGCGTCCGTCGCGAATGCGTATCTGCGTGCGCAGGCGCGCCTGGTGCAGGTGGAAGGCGTCCTCGTGGCGCGCCCAGCTGCCGAACTGAACTGAACTGAACGAGCCGTGTAGTTGTGTACAGTGCGGGTGCGTGCTCACCGCGTCCGTCGCGAATGCGTATCTGCGTGCGCAGGCGCGCCTGGTGCAGGTGGAAGGCGTCCTCGTGGCGCGCCCAGCTGCCGAACTGAACTGAACGAGCCGTGTAGTTGTGTACAGTGCGGGTGCGTGCTCACCGCGTCCGTCGCGAATGCGTATCTGCGTGCGCAGGCGCGCCTGGTGCAGGTGGAAGGCGTCCTCGTGGCGCGCCCAGCTGCCGAACTGAACTGAACGAGCCGTGTAGTTGTGTACAGTGCGGGTGCGTGCTCACCGCGTCCGTCGCGAATGCGTATCTGCGTGCGCAGGCGCGCCTGGTGCAGGTGGAAGGCGTCCTCGTGGCGCGCCCAGCTGCCGAACTGAACTGAACGAGCCGTGTAGTTGTGTACAGTGCGGGTGCGTGCTCACCGCGTCCGTCGCGAATGCGTATCTGCGTGCGCAAGCGCGCCTGGTGCAGGTGGAAGGCGTCCTCGTGGCGCGCCCAGCTGCCGAACTGAACTGAACGAGCCGTGTAGTTGTGTACAGTGCGGGTGCGTGCTCACCGCGTCCGTCGCGAATGCGTATCTGCGTGCGCAGGCGCGCCTGGTGCAGGTGGAAGGCGTCCTCGTGGCGCGCCCAGCTGCCGAACTGAACTGAACTGAACGAGCCGTGTAGTTGTGTACAGTGCGGGTGCGTGCTCACCGCGTCCGTCGCGAATGCGTATCTGCGTGCGCAGGCGCGCCTGGTGCAGGTGGAAGGCGTCCTCGTGGCGCGCCCAGCTGCCGAACTGAACTGAACGAGCCGTGTAGTTGTGTACAGTGCGGGTGCGTGCTCACCGCGTCCGTCGCGAATGCGTATCTGCGTGCGCAGGCGCGCCTGGTGCAGGTGGAAGGCGTCCTCGTGGCGCGCCCAGCTGCCGAACTGAACTGAACGAGCCGTGTAGTTGTGTACAGTGCGGGTGCGTGCTCACCGCGTCCGTCGCGAATGCGTATCTGCGTGCGCAGGCGCGCCTGGTGCAGGTGGAAGGCGTCCTCGTGGCGCGCCCAGCTGCCGAACTGAACTGAACGAGCCGTGTAGTTGTGTACAGTGCGGGTGCGTGCTCACCGCGTCCGTCGCGAATGCGTATCTGCGTGCGCAGGCGCGCCTGGTGCAGGTGGAAGGCGTCCTCGTGGCGCGCCCAGCTGCCGAACTGAACTGAACGAGCCGTGTAGTTGTGTACAGTGCGGGTGCGTGCTCACCGCGTCCGTCGCGAATGCGTATCTGCGTGCGCAGGCGCGCCTGGTGCAGGTGGAAGGCGTCCTCGTGGCGCGCCCAGCTGCCGAACTGAACTGAACGAGCCGTGTAGTTGTGTACAGTGCGGGTGCGTGCTCACCGCGTCCGTCGCGAATGCGTATCTGCGTGCGCAGGCGCGCCTGGTGCAGGTGGAAGGCGTCCTCGTGGCGCGCCCAGCTGCCGAACTGAACTGAACGAGCCGTGTAGTTGTGTACAGTGCGGGTGCGTGCTCACCGCGTCCGTCGCGAATGCGTATCTGCGTGCGCAGGCGCGCCTGGTGCAGGTGGAAGGCGTCCTCGTGGCGCGCCCAGCTGCTGAACTGCGCCGCCTCACGCGCGCGCGCCGCCGCTGCCGCTTCCGCTTCGCGTTCCGCTCGCTCCGCCTCGCGCTCCAGCCGCCGCTGCTTCACCTAACATACCACCAACAACCATCACTTATTGACTGAACCACAAAGTGGCCCCTAAGCAATATGAACAGCAGAGCAGTCACCCTTTGTGAGCCACAATACAGCCTTTTTATATTCAACTGTGGTTCTTGGACTTAAAAAACATGATGCAAATAAAGTCAAAACTACCATCGCCATTGCACATGATGTGTATCATTTTGCCCGGCTAATAAATAATCTAAAGCTGTGCCTTTTTCTGATACATTTATTAGCTTTATTAAAAATAATTAAAAAAATAAAAATTATATAAATCTTTTAGCTTTATTAATATACTAAAACATGCTCTTTAGAATCTGATTCTGCTATTACCTTTATAAATAAATAAATATTCATTTCTTTTAGCTTTCAAACAATGGCAATATATCCAACATGTTATTAGCGGTCATAAAATACCCAATTTCATCAACATAATTTCTAATAGAAAAGCACAAGATGTCTACAACTTAGCCCATTACCATACATAACGTTTTTACACTTGTGTGTAATACAAGAACTGAATATTATGAGGAATTTGAATATTAATGTTATAACTGATGGACTTCATATTGACAATTGACAACACTCACCTTTTCTAATTCAATTTTATTCTCCATCTGCTTCTGTCTATTCAATGCCTCTAATTCATCCCTTGACACATTTTTGACTCCTTCTTTTGCAAGTTTCTTTGTCCATACAAAGGTATGTGTGAGTGCAGAGTCCCCAAATGGATTATCTTGGTTGGTGTAGCATTGGTACTCAGTGTCCCAGCCCATGCGCTCCCGCCTTTTTCGCTCCTTTTCTTGTTTTTCTCGTAAGCGCCGAGCTCTGCAAATAATAACAATATGAAATTTAAGTCATGCACTGGCTGATAATAGTAAAAACTATTAACAAAAGTATTAAAATAGAAATAAGTAAGCTTTATCCTATATTTTATAGAACCTAACTAACTTACACTTAGTTTATGGCGTTTTACAATAAAGATTAATTAAATAAATAAATAGTCCTTCATATTTTTGAAAATGAACAAAAGTCTAGTATTGTAATTATTACTCAGACTTTACTGCAAGTTCTAGTAGAAAATAATAGAACATTGGAAGATAGGATATTTTTTAATGCCGATCAGTGACCTTCAACATTTTTTATTTTTTTATTAGACAAAGAAATGAAGGATTTTTTATAGGATAAAGGGTCAGCTGAAAGGGCAGAACAACTTCTGCCTAGCCAGCTAGTAAAATAAAATTAATTATCATGTTACAGGATCATTAAATACTTTGTGAAGATTACAAATAAAAATTAATAATTGAAATGTGTATGAATATGATTTTTTATAGGATGAGGGTGACAAACAAGTTACTTGATGCTAAGTGGTTGCTGTGGCCCATAGACGTCTACATCTATCCTCCATGATAAATCAAAATGCTGATGCATTGTCATCCATGAGGCCTAAGATAGAATGGCTAGTTTCCAGTAAGAAGATTCTCCAGTTCTCTACATTCACCATACAAAACACAGCAGTGTTAAGACACTATTTATGCTGGTATTCCATGAGAGCATGGCTGCAGCATGGCTCTATCACATAATACAATAATAAAATAATATAATACCTTTTTTCCTCAGGAGTTTCATTAGCCTTCAGTAGCTCTTTTTGCTTCCTTTTTTCTTCTTTTAGCCTTAACCTTTCTGCCTCTAACCTCTGCAACAGCTTAAGTTCTTCCTCATCACTATCACTACTGCTACTACTGCTGCTGGATGAACTGCTGTGCTTCTTTTTTTTCTTTTTACTCTTTTTATGTTTAGATGAATCTCTTTTAGTCTTTTTGTGTTCTTTACTAGAAGATCTATGTCTAGATTTTGCAGGAGACTTTGATTTACAATGTTTATCTCCACCTCTGTGAGCTGGTGATTTACTTCTTGACTGTCCTCTGTGCCTACTGACTTCATACTTGGATGACCTAATAGAATGTATAATTGATCAAATAGCCATAGGTAAGATTTTAAAAGAATTGAAATTAAAAACCACAATTATAGTTTAGTAAGTGACTATGCGAAGACATAAAGGACCTACGCTAATACATTTTGGTAATTTGTGTACATTTTATATGAAGTATCTATCCTACTATAAAATAAACATATTTGCAAGTTAGGTTTTAAAAACTTACATATTGCTGCTACCGACGGATTGTTACCGCAGTGTATTACAAGTTGATAAAACAATTTTCAATACAAATAATAAGCTAAAAAGCACGAAATAATATCAGAGTAATAATGTTACTGATTATTTTTCTAAAAAGTTGATGATTTATGCCTTTAGTATATTTGATTGATGATTTGATGATTTGACGTTTCACGCCATTCACGCCAAATGCCAATTCTTCTTCTTCTTAATAACTGGCTTTACGGCTCTGGGATCTAGCCCTTCTGAGCCTGAAGTTATAATATACTATAATAATAATCCTTCATAGTATACTGCTTCACAATATGTTGATGCGTCACATTGTGCAGCCCTTGGGAGATTTTGACCGCAACTTGAGCCAGCAGACAGCTGACGGTTGGCGATGGTATCTCAAGGCGCCTAATCAGACAGACACCATATTTTGAGAATCACATCACGATCAGAGCACTTGTTTCACAGTTTCCACTAATAGTTTACATGCGCAGACACTTAATACACAAAAAACTTTTACATATCAAAGTCCACTTCAAACCATTATTTAAATAATAATACAGGAGCAGCAAACCTCCACCGGTCAAGTTCCCGCCAAATGCCAACCACAGAATATATCATAGACTTAGGCCGGCCACATACATACGGAATTCCGTTTCGAGATTCCGTTTCGATATTCCGATTCGGAATCCCGAACGCAGCAAGTCCATATAAAATCTATGACCCGCCACACACGTACGATAGTTTTCCGTTCGATATTTTGCGGGCAAAACGGGATTCCGTTTGTGTGTGGCCGACCGTTCGAAATTCCGAAACGGAATCTCGAAACGGAATTCCGTATGTATATGGCGGGCCTTAGAATACACTGGCGTATAGACGACCTGACAGCCCGAAAATGCGTGACTAATTTTGATTTGTCATTGTGTGCGTTAGCTAGTGATGTACATTTTGCTTACTAGGCCTATCGAAAAATTATTGTTAAGGAAACGGTAAAAAGATTAAAAAAGATTGTTTAGTGCACGCAATTGAATAACTTAAAAATGAACTGAATTTTTACCATAATAGTCCACAATAATTAAAAATATTCATATAACATGTTCCTGGGAATAAGCTGAACCTTCCTGCTTTTTGTTGAATTTTAATTCAAATGTATAAAATCCCAGGTGACTGTACCGATAAACTTAAAAAAACTCCCCAAGAATCAGATCAGAATGTTGTATTTTCAAGCTTAAGCTTATCTATATTTGGACAAAAATATTTACTGCCGTGGACAGTTTCTCCTAAATTTCTTTTTCGACATATTGTTAATATAAATAGGTAGATACTTAACTATCATCATCGTCATCACAGCCCTTCACAAATCCACTGCTAAACATAGGCCTCTCCCAAGGAATGCCAGAAAGCACGGTCCTGAGCCACCCGAACCCATCGACTTCCTGCATGTCTTACCAGGTCGTCACTCAATCTAGTGGATGGACGCCCTACCCTGCGACCGCCGGTACGAGGCCGCCACTCAAGAACCTTTTTTCCCCATCGGTTGTCGGTTCTTCGAGCTATATGACCGGCCCATTTCCACTTCAGCTTACTAATCCGTTGGGCTATGTCGGGCACACTGGTTCTACTGCGGATATCCTCATTTCTAAGTTTATCACGTAGAGGAACTCCGAGCATAGCCCTCTCCATAACTCATCTCGTCAGCAGTGAAGGACCACTTCTCATTTCCATAGGTCATCACTGGCAACACGCACTGGTTGTACAGTCTCGTTTTCAAGTTTTGAGTTATACCTGACGAGAAGATGTGCCGTAATTTACCGAACGCTGCCCAGCCGAGTTGAATACGTCGATTGACCTCTCGGTCGAAGTTGGACTTACCTAGTCGGACTATTTGCCCCAGGTAAACATACTCGTCAACAACTTCGAGCTTAATGCTTCCAACAACTACCAGCATAGGTGTGACATGGACGTTATACATGATCTTTGTTTTGTCCATGTTTATCTTAAGACCTATCAGATGGGAGGCACTATTAAGGTTGTTGAGCATAGTGGTTACGTCCTCCAGCGATTCTGTCATAAGGACAATATCGTCGGCAAATCGAAGGTGAGTGATGTACTCGCCGTTGATGTTAATGCCGTATGCTTTATAGTCCAGAAGCTAGAAAACGTCTTCCAATGCAGCGGTGAAGAGTTTCGGGGATATAAAATCTCCCTGTCTTACGGTGTGTATATATTACTGTCTCTGCAGTTAAAGTCAACTAAGTAACCTATTTATATTTTATAAAATGTTTTGATGCGGAAATAAAAAACGGGGACACGTAGTACATAGTGGCTGCTTTATTTTTCATATAAGTATTACTTTTGATAATAACAAACATTTAATAATTAAATATATTATAGTAGTTTATTTTAACATTCGAATTAAATGAATTTAAACTTATTAATTTAAGTAAGGAAACTTGGAGGAGTCAGTTAAATAAGATTGCTGTGTTTAAAGGCCAATATGTTTATGAGGCATTATCATGCTTTATGTTTATATTCTTTCATCTCTCCCTGAAAAGTATAAAGTAGGAATAAACCTGTTATCATTTTAGCTGCATGAACTTTAAAAAGAACAAAGTAAAGTGTACCAAGTGTCTAAGGATACAGATGCACTCTCTATTCTTTCAATCTAGTTATGTTAATAAAATTATAACTCATTCATGGACTGATTGCGGCAAATGCAACTTAATTTCTCAGATCACACACTGCACAGCTATTACTTAACCACGAGTTCCTCTTCTCTACGACTAACGCTGTAGGCGATGCACAATGTTCTTTGCTGTTTTTTTAAATAAGTTACCCCCACACTAGGATTTTCTCCTGTATTGTGAAGGCAGTTTACTAACATAGAGTGCACGAGGACAAACATCCAGACCCGAAACAATTATTTGTAAACTATACAAATACTTGTTCCAAGCGGGATTCGAACTCGCGGCTCCCAGGGCAAAAGTCATTGCAAAGCCACTGCACCACGGAGCCGTCAATGGCGCCGGCTATAAAGCATGGATCGGGCATCGAACACCGTGAGTATCAAATATTGTGGAATTTATAATATCGCGTCTCATGCGTGGGTAAATATCTATAGCTAACTACGCTAAAAGTTTTATCATTGTGAGTTGGGAATATAATCCGAACCTCCGCTCAACCCCTTGGGGAAAATAGTGTGATGCTATAAATTTTTGGTTGATAAATGAATACTTAGTTGATGACGGCTCCGTGGCACAGTGGCTTAGCAATGAGTTGCTGCGCTGGGGGGCGCGGGTTCGAATCCCGCACGGAACAAGTATTTGTATGGCCTACAAATAATTCTTCCGGGTCTGGATGTTTGTCCTTGTGCAATTTGTGTTTGTAAACTGCCTCCACGATACAGGAGAAAATCCTAGTGTGGGGATAACGTTTTTAAAAAAAAAAATAAAAAAATAACTTAGTAGGGTTTATAATGCTTAAAGAGGATAATCTTAATATTTTTTATCTTTAATGTACTACAGTTCTATAATGTATAAAAATCTGTCTCTATTTTTATCTAAAGCTTTGAAAGTGAAATTTTTCAAGTCTTATTATAACAATATTATACTCACTGATGCAAATAATGTAGAAATTACTCCTTTTAATAATAATAATTTCTACTTTTTCTTTTATACTTTTCAAGAAAATGTATACTGAAAATTGTCTAGATCTTCTTTAGATTCCAACCAACCCGTTCAATTAACCTTAACCATTTTTTCTAATGATAGAATCCGGAGTGAATCTGTTTGACGAAAGGCAAAATAAAATTACATTAGAATAGAATAGAATAATTTTTTATTCAATATAGATCACATGTGTAATTCTTATTGAAAGTCATTTTTTACTTTACCACTGGTTCGAAAAAAATCCTCTGTCCTGGGAAGAACCAGCAAGAAACCCAGCGGGACTTTTTTTAAAGCAAATTTTACATTTTTTTTCTTATAGGATAAGGGTGACAAACGAGCACACAGTCCACCTGATGGTAAGTGGTTGCTGCGGCCCATAGACATCTACATCTATCCTCTGTTACAAATCAAAATGTAGATGCGTCGTCACCCGTGAGGACTAAGATGGAATGCCTCATTTCCAGTAAAAAGGGCCTCAGGCCACCTGCACTCAACAAGCGAAACGCAGAGGTAAACTCTCTCTCTACTTCACGCTGGTTTTCTGTGAGGTCGTGGTACTACCCCGGTTCGAGCCGGCCCATCCGTGCGACAGCAAAAGCTGCCGCGTGGCTCTACCACTGTATAAAATAATGGTTGTACAAACTATATAAGTACGAAATTTATTTTAGAAACAGCTTGGAAGCGATCACCTTATTCCCAGGGGTTATTATCAACCATGTATTCATTAATACTATAATAACCCTTTTTATACAGTTTCAACTTAACAAAACATTTAAACTTGCTAATAGAGAGAGCCTGTACACTTTCCGGGACCTTGTTGTAAAAGCGTATACATTGCCCCAAGAATGAATTACTGACTCTGTGGAGTCGAGAAACTGGTATCACTAGCTTGTTTTTTTTTTGGAGTTTATGGCCTGGTATCTAGACCTTTAGGCCAAGTCTTAAGTATTTTTATTCGGTTTATTGTAATTTCCCCACTCCTTCATAGTATACTGCTTCACAATATGTTGATGCGTCACATTGTGCAGTTCTTGGGAGATTTTGGCGGCAACTTGATCCAGCAGACAGCTGATAGTTGGCGATGGTATCTAAAGGTGCCTATGCAAACAAACAGCTTATCTTGAGAATCCATCACCATCAGAGCACTTGTTTCACTGTTTCCACTAATAGTTCACATGCGTAGACACTTAATACACAAAATCGCAACACTTTTACATATCAAAGTCCACTTCAAACCATTATTTAAACAATAATACAGGAGCAGCAAACCGCCGCCGGTCAATTTCCCGCCAAAACTCCTATCACTAGCTTGTGTTTGTTCCTAGTGTTTAGAGAATGTATATCACTTTTTTTACTAAAACTACCATTGTTTTGTGAACATACATTAAATTTTCGTAAATATACCGAGAGGCCAAAGTTAATATATGTATTTCTTTAAATTTATCTCTAAGAGACTATCTCGGTTTTAGGTTGTAAATAGCTCTAATGGCCCTCTTCTGTAAAACAAAAATAGTTTCTGAATCAGCCGCATTTCCCCATAGCAAAATCCCATAAGACATTATGCTATGGAAATAACTGAAATAAACTAATCTACCTGTCTCGACACTAGTGAGTCCTTTACTATTTTTTAAAGCATAGGCTGCAGAACTTAGTCTGCTTGCTAGTTTGGATATATGGCGGCCCCAATGAAGCTTTGCGTCGAGAGTGATGCCAAGAAAAACAGTGGATTCAATGGGCTCAGTTCTTCCCCATTTAAAAACACATTTGTACACAGATTTTTAACATTCGTTGTTGTAAATTTAATACATTTAGTTTTATTTCCGTTTAAATGTAGATTATTAACATTAAACTAATGCACTAATTTTGATATAGCATTATTGACTTCGTCACATTTAAATGATTGACGTTTAAGTTTAAAATTCAAGGAAGTATCATCAGCAAATAATACTATATCATGATTATTATTATACATTTTAAAACGCAAACCGAGGATTTGTTTTCTTGTTGTGTGGGCAAGTCCATCGATTCATTATAAGCACTCAAGATAAATATCGACATTAATTTTGATATAGTTGAGTCAATCCCTAGCGTACATGTAAAATATTTTGTACAAAAATGTATTTACCAAATTCATGCAAATTATCAACAACGTGATTTTTTTCTTTGCAAAATATCAAAATTAACAAAATAATTGAAGATATTCTATATTTTAAACAGTATATAACATAAATTTTAACCAAAAATAAACGCATCATAATATTGACGACGTCTTGAGAATTTATCTGTGAAATGTGCAATTATCAGGATTATTTCTATTATTAACACTACAGTCACTTACAGAACAAGTAACCATTTTGGAAAAAAGTTACTTGCTAAAAATAACCACTGTAGTGTAGCCCCCACGACAGTATATATGTGTTAAGTTAGAATAAGCTTAATTCCCCAACAAGTTCACCGTATTGTGGAATATATCCTCAGCGGTTTTTATCCTCGTCGTCATAAGATCATCGCGGTCTTTTTCGACATAGCTAAAGCCTTTGATAGAGTCTGGCATACAGGCCTTATCTACAAATTATACAAAATAGGTCTCCCCGATCGTCTAGTTCGTCTCGTGGCCTCTTATCTAAAGCAT